TTCTTCATGTTACAGAAATCATTACACTGTACGCTTCCTGTAGCATTTTGTTTTTACTTTGATCTTTGCATTCATGCTTGGCTTTGTCTTAGACAAGTGTTTTCATATCAGTCTCTTGCTAACATACAAGAGAGCTTCAAAAAGTTTGGGGAAAATTTCCATTTTCTTTCCATTTTCCATTTGTTCTTTCCACGAACTTTTTGAAAAACCCTCATGAGGGTAAGGAGCATGTTTTATTGGGAATCACTTCAGACTATCACAGCATTCAGTTAATAGATGAATGTTGGCTGTGTTTGTTTTCATGCATAGTTGGAAGTCTGCACAATAGAGAACATAATCTGTGATTAGATTCTACATCTGTAACTCCAACAGGCTTGTGTATAAATATGATGTTGAGTACAGCAGAGAGTGGCATGAATTAGGGTGGTGTTGTCATTGTTAAGTGCCTTTGAGTTGGCTCCGACCCATAGCAACTGTATATAGGGTTTCTGAAGAGTGGGTGATGAACTTGAACTGCCAACCTTGCACTTCAAACTGATTTTGCAGTCTAGTGCATTAACCCACAGTACCACGCCAAGACCCCCATGAATTAAGATGAGTCCATTCAAACTTATCAGCTGAATTGTGTAGCTGGAAAATTAGCCAGTTTGTTATCTACAGTCCTGTATTTTGATCCTGTTATGTATCAGGCATATGTCAGGCAATGTTGGGTGTTGATGATGATGGGTTATTTTTACCAGTACATTTTTACCAAGAGTGTTGTTTTATACCTGTACTGGTGTACGTTAGGTGCATTTTACCTTCTTGTGGCCTTGAAACTTAGAAATATGGTATAAAGTTGAATTTAAAAGTTTCAAAAAGTCTCAGAAATTTCTAGTCATCATCTTGAGTTTATTTTGTCATATTGAACAGCCGAAACTCAAGACTTGATGTTTCCTATTCATGAAACCTCACATTTTAGTAAAATCTCATTTCTCTGTCACCTCAATATATAGTGATGCATCGTTTAACATTCACAGTATGTTCTGTGAGACAGAACATTAAGTGATTTGAACATTGTGCAAACACCATATTATTATGTACACAGATTATGAAGAAGCTCTGTTCCTAAGTTAAAAAATGGTGTGAGGAATGAGAACCAAACTCAGCATCAGCCCCAGGTTGATTCTTGAGGAAGAGGTCAGATATGCCTCCACCCTCCAACCATCTTTACTGATTCTGATGCCAACTGTCCCTCCAATGACATTCTCTTCTTCGCTGGCTTCTAAAATCCATTTCCATGGCCACACAGAACTCACAGACAGTACTCAGACAGTACTCACTATTATGAGGTTTATTAGGATGTTAACAGTTTATGTACGTTTCAGGATCAGAAACACCAAGGAAACAGGATTTAATGCTTCGATCAGGGCCACCACTGCTCAGTTGGGCCAGTAGACATGTCACTTTTCTGGTCCTCACCCTCTCAGCCACGTTACCTTTGCCCTGCTCTGGCAAGTGTTAACAAAGCTCTTTTAGTGCTGTAGATAAATGTCCAAAAGACATTCTACACTGGCCCAAAGGTGCTCAGCCTTAGTTCTGTGCATCAGCAAACCTAACTCCCTTGATTGAGTGCCTTGAGGCATCCCAATCTGCCAGCAAGCCTCCTCCCAAAAGGCACTCTGCTTTCTTGCTCCATGGGCTGGGAAGCCCACTGTTCTCATTCTCTTGATTCTGCTGCCTCTGCTGCTACCACTTCTCTGCTGCCACACTTCAGTCTCCTGGATTGAGGAGTTCAGCACATACGGATCTCAGGGTCCAAAGTATGCACTCCACTCCTAGCTCTTCTTTCATGACAGTAATGAAATCCCTGTTTTTAACTCGTTGTTGTTGTTAGGTGCCATCGAGTCGATATCAACGCATAGTGACCCTATACAATACAGAACGAAACACTGCCCGGTTCTGGGCCAACCTCACAATTGTTGCCACGCTTGAGCCCATTTGATGCTGCCACTTTGCCAATCCTTCTCACTGGGGGTCTTCCTCTTTTTCTATGACCTTCCACCTTACCAAACATGATACCCTTCTCCAATGACTAGTCCCTCCTGACAATATGTCTGAAGTATGAGAGAGGAAGCCTGGCCATCTTGGCCTCTAAGGAGCATTCTGGCTGCACTTCCAACACAGATTTGTTCTTTTGGCAGCCCATGGCACTTTCAATATTCTCCTCCAACACCATAACTCAAATGCATCAGTTCTTCTACGGTCTTCCTTATTCACTGTCCAGCTTTCACATGCATATGAGGTTATTGAAAATACCATGACTTGGGTCAGGCGCGCCTTAGTCCTCAGGCCTGACATCTTTGCTTTTTAACGCTTTAAAAAGTTCTTGTGCAGCAGATTTGCTTAATGGAAATACATCGTTTGATTTCTTGACTGCTGCTTCCATGAGTGTTGATAGATGATCAAGAAGAATGAAGTCCTTGACAACTTCAATCTTTTCTCTGTTGATGAGAATGTTGTTTATTGGTTCAGTGGTGAGGATTTTTGTTTCCTTTACATTGAGATGCAGTCCATACCATAGGCTGTGGTCTTTGATCTTCATCAGTAAATATTTTAAGTCCTCTTCACTTTGCAAGCAAAGTTGTATCATCTGCATATCACAGGTTGTTAAAGAGTCTTCCTACGATCCTGATGCCACGTTTTGCTTCATATAACCCATCTTCTTGGATTATTTGCTCAGCATACAGGTTAAATAAGTATGGTGAAAGAGTACAACACCGTCACATGCCTTTCTTAATTTTAAACCATTCAGTGTTCCCATGTTTCTGTTCGAACAGTTGTTTCTTGGTCCATGTACAGATTCCTCATGAGCACAATGAAGTGTTCAGGAATACTCATGCTTTGCATTGTTGTCCATAGCTTGTCATGATCCGCACAATCGAAAGTCTTTGTGTAGTCAATAAAGCACAGGTAAACATCTTTCTCATATTCTCTGCTTTCAGCCAAAATCCATTGGACAACTTTTTAGATGGATCATATTAAACCTAGGAAGGAGGATGGCAAATCTCACGAATCCTCATGTTAGAGTTCCATATGCTTTATTTGCATGATCCCACCCCAAATGGGTGTATTGTACCTTATTTACGTTATTAGCAAGCTATCCAATTCTCTTGGTGGACCAGTCACAAACACTTAACATCTGCACAGTCTTGTGCATCAGCCACTCTTCAGAAACCCTATTCAGGGTCCTGCAAGTCCAAACCTACTTGATGGCACTCAACAACAACAACTCATTCATGTGGTAGAAATCACAAAAACTATAGTTCTGTAAGTTGGAAAAGTTTGGCATGGTTCCTACCTAATGCTTGTCTTCTTTGCATATTATATATACTGTACATTTCTCTGTTTAAAAACAAAACACTTCCAAATACACTAAAAAACATACTTTGCAATAATAACACAGTAGTTATAATAATGCATTGATGTGTGTTGCAGAGTAGCACCCCTTTGCAATTACGAGCCATTGTATGTACTTTAACTTTTTAATATGGTACGTTTCTGGGTATAGGTACCCAGGATATAGTTCTGCAGTGCATGACTGTGCTTTGAAAGCTGAATGTATATGCTTTACTATGTGTCATAGAATGAACACTTTGTCATCTTAATTTCAGTTTCCATAAAGCATTCTAACTTTATATTGCACACAAAATTAAATTCTCTTGAGTAGTACTTTAGATATATTTTATAATATTTTAGAGAACCTTGAAAAATAAGCCACATCTCAGACATGCTTGCTACAATGGTGGCTTCCTGTTGGTATTTAGTAATTTTGGTGTCCTCTGTTACATGCTGTCTTAAGAAAAGGAGATGCTGTGGCTGCCTAGGGTCACAACAAACAACTTTAAAAGAATGTGCCACTGTGTTAATTTTGAAATTATTTTTAATTTTTTTAGTTCTCCAGAAAGCAGAAGTTGTTTTGTTAGGTGACATGGAGTTGGTTCTGACTCATAGCAAGCCTGTTTACAACAGACTAAAACACTGCCCAGTTCTGCCCCATCACACTGCCCAGTTCTGCCCCATCATCACAATTGTTGTGCTTGAGCCCATTTTTTGCTGCCACTTTGCCAGTCCATCTTGTGGGTCTTTCAGAAGTAGAGTCCTTTAATGAAAGTTTGTAATCGGGAGGAAATTGTAAAAATTAAATGTAATAGGTTAGTTACTAGCCCATTTTTAGAGACTTTCTGTTACCTTAGCGGAGCCCTGGTATAGTGCTATGGGTTAATGCGCTGGACTCCAGCAAAGTCGGTTTGATTCGCAGAGTCACTGGTTGAAGCACACCAGCCACTTCTTGGAAACCCTTTAAAAGGAACAAAAACACTGTGGATCAGAACCGACTCAAAAGCACTTAACAACAGCAACCACTACCTAAGCAGTTGCATATTGGGATTTTTGGACAGTTGTGTGTTGTTAATTGTTATTTTTAGATAAAAGAGTTTTAACCTTATTGTCATGCTTTGAGCTTGTAAATTTGATGTCCTGGAAGCTAGTTCAGACTCAGCTCAGGGGTTGCTTTTCTATATAGTTCATGAGCCACTTTGGGGGCTTTGTTTTGTTTTTAGCTTTTTTTTAATGTTTTCTCATTTGTTTGACTTAAACATATATTGGAGTCCTTGCCATGTGCTGGGCATTGGTAAGGTTGAAAAATATTGCTCCTCTTTCTTGGAGTTTATAGTTAGCACAGGAGGCCGATAGATTTTATGAAACAGGAGGCACAGTAGCTTTCCAAAGCTCAGAGTAATGCTGCAGAACACATTTTTCTTACTAATCTGGCAGCTTTGCTTGAGTGTAATTGTTCACAAGTTAATCATCATGTTATTTGTTTGCATCAACCAGAGGTTTATGGCATTGCTATCATCAGGGGCCAGCTTTACTGGATGGTTGAAAAAGCTGTATTTTTGGTGTATGGCACCCATTTCCTATGAAAATGTCGAGTTGAGTGTTCCGTTCTTTCTTTTTAGTGAGCATTTGTCCTGCGCTTTCACATTCTTTCTTCATGGGGAAAGTAACGTATGCACAAGTGTGGAGATTGCCCAACACCAGCCAATCTACCTGATCAACGAAGAACATATACACATGGCTCAGTCTTCACCTGCCCCATTTCAAGGTGAGTCTGGGGAGTCCTTCCCTTCTCTCCCTGCTCTCATCCCTTCCACTGCTTTGAACAGTACAATATGAAATTTTAAAGCTAAGCACAAGTCCATTTCTGAAAGGAAAGTCTACCACTGTACATGTAAGTAATAATACCTTACTTGTTGTTTGCTGAAGCTTCTCATTGCCTGGTCTTATGTGAAATAATGTTGAGGAATGAAATCGTTTCCTCAAAACAAAAGAAGATGTATGAGTCTTTGAAGAAGGATACCATGCTTGTTAAAGAGGAAGGTCAGTGAAAAAGATGAAGAACTCCAACGAGATGAATTGGCGGCACAGTGGCAGTAGGCATGAGCTCAAGCGTGAAAATGACTAAGGATGGCACAGGGCTGGGCAGGGTTTCCTTCTGGTTTTTTGCATAGGGTCACTTGGTGTCGGAAGTGACTCACCTGCAATAACAGTGACAACATGAGCAACTGGTTTTAAAGATTATGTTAGGTTGAACCATAAGAAAAAACATTTTGGGATTGAAATAGCTTGTCAGTTGGAATTTCATTTTAAAAAACATTGATACTTTAACAAACTTGAAAAGGTACTTTTATTGCTTTACCAGGCTGCCATAAAAATGTTTGTCCTCCATGTTAAGATTGTTGCCCTTAAGACAATTAAACATTATTGTTCTTTTTTTTTTTAAGGTAAAAAGGAACAGTAAATTATCACTTAATTGTCCTAATTATTACCTAATTACAGACGTGGTGTGGTGCTGTAGGATAAGCAACCTCTGCCTCAGAAACCTTATACAGCAGCAACAACAGTTAGTACCTAGACAAACCACCACCCTCACCCTACCTCCTGTCATTCACTCTGAACAGTGTACTTCATTCTTCTGTCTCTTGGGGTGTTCTTATGGTTGAAATACTATCAGATTCAAGGTAACCCAATTCTCAAGCTGTTCACTGGAGAGAGTTGTGCAGTATCTGGATACTAAGTTTATGAAACTTAGTACATTGTCTTGAGTATAAAAGTGCTGAGGTCTATCAGACTTCATCGTAGATAGTACTATTGAAACTGACAAGCTTTTATTTATGGTAATAACAAAAGAAATTACTAATCATAAAGGCAGGCAACTACCAAACCTTCTGTATTGGGAAAGATAGTATTAGAAATGCCAGGCCCCTCCAACCACTTATTTAAAATTGGACTGGTTTGTCACTATGCCTTGAATCATAGAAAATTTTGTGAGTCATTGCCTTGCGTATTTCTCATGATTGGTGTGGTGGGAGCTAGATACTTAGGGCAGGTGCCGGCCTATAGATAATTACAGTTAACATAATTACCCAAATTGGTGTGGGAATTTCCTAGAAGCGTTAATGCAAGAAAATTGCCCTTGATTAACTGTGTTGATTGAAAATCAGTATCTCTATCCCATTGAAATTGTTGAGGAACAGGAGAAACGCACTAAGAAATGTGTCGTGTCTAAATGCTCTCTCTCTTGATTGATGCGATAAACCATCCAGCTGTTTTGTTGTGTGTTTTTTTAAGCATCAAAAAGGACACCCATTTAAAAACTATGTCGAGTTGGGTTGTTGTTGTTTTTTTTAATCCAGATTAAGTAAAAGTGACCTGTATCCCCAGAAGAGCATTATTTGGAAGGTTGTAATAGTGACACTAAGAACTAGCCCAGGTCTTCCTGTTACTGTTGTTAACTCCATTTTTATGTCTAACTGAGTGAAAATGAAGCCCAGGTCAATCACTGAAAGTGGAAGTCGGGAGGACTTTGGATGCTTAGAGTTTACTGTGAGTTGTTTCATCAAATAGTCCTCTCAAACTGAAATGATAACTAAACTTTCAAAATGAAGACTTTTCTGCTGCTGGCAGATGTGCTTAGATCATATTCTTTAATTACCACAGATTTTTAGGCAAGCTTTGGGGTGTAGGTATTGAATGTTTTTCTTTTTGTATGGAAGTTTCAGTGTTCACAATTTGTAAGCTGTTATTACACAGATACATTATATATTGTATGTTGATACAACTACCTGATAGTATAATAAACCAAAACCGAACCCATTGTTGTCAGTTTGATTCTGACTCATAGTAACCTATGAAACAGAGTTAAACTGCCCATAGAGTTTCTAAGACAGTAAATCTTCACAAAAGCATACTGCCACATCTTTCTTTTGTTGCAGGCTGGTGGGTTGGAGCCTATTGTTTTAGCAGCTGACAGCTTTTATTTGATTATGAGAAGACTAAAAAGTCACAGTCTAAAAAGGTGTTAGCCAGACCTCCCACAGCAAGATGGCAGAGTAGGAGGACACAGTGAGGTGACCCTCTGCAACAAAGACATGAGAGACCGAGTGAAACAGATACAGATGGTGACCCTGGAACCCTGAGCATCAGAGGGTAGAACAGAAATAGGTGATTGAGTGCCAGTTGGAAGGGGAAGGTGGGCAGTAGCAGTGAAACAGGAAAAACTGGCAGAAACTGTAGCATCTTGAGCTTTTTTTAGGCACTGGAGGAGGCTGGGTGCTAGTGGCAAGGGAGTGCAGTTCTCCCTTGTTCCCATGCCCTTCTGGTAGCAGCAGAATGGGACCAGTCCTCGCTCTTACCAACCCAGTGGCCGTTGGTGTCTCTCCTGTGCAGCCTTGACTCTGTTTGGGATTGGGCACTGGGCTTCATGCTCCTGCTTCTGGAGGTATCTAAATCCGCCCTGAACTATGACACATAAAGAGTGCACCGGGAACTGCCTCGATACTTAAGTTCTTCACGTATCCACCAGGAGGCTGAGGGTGAGTGCCTGAGGACACACATGCAAACTCATCAGTTAAATACAAATACCACAGCACAGTATCTCAGAGAAAACAGACAATTTCAGTTACACAACGAAAGAAGACAAAGTGCTTCAAACAAGTGACCATAATACAGCCAGAAAATACAACACCAGAAATAGTATCAGAACTACCTGATAAGGATTTGAAAGAATGCTAAATAGCCAACTTCAACAGATTGAGAGAACGGTCAAGCAAAATGCAGATGAGATCAAAGGAAACAGAAAATGCTGTAGAGAATTTCAGGATATGAGCTGAGAAAATAAAAAATGGAAACCAAAACCAGCAGTTAGAAAACTAGAAGATTAACACTAAGACTTCAGAAATAGATAATACACTAAAAAGGCAAGGAGTAGAATTAATGATGGAAGGCTGGAATACTGACTTTGAAGAAAAATCTCTCCAATATTCTTCTGCTTGAGGAAGAATCAGAAAAAAGAACAAAATAAATCAGAAGAAAGTCTAAAATTTATGTGGGACACTTATCAAGAGGAATAACTTAAGTGCAATTGGAAATCCAGAACAGGAAGAGGCAGAAAGCCCCACAGAGAATGCTGTACAAGGGTTGTTGGGAGAAAATGTAAATTCGCATTATGAAAGACATGAAGATAGCCATCCACTCAAGAAGTTGAACAAACTACAAAGTAGACCTCAAAAGAAAAAAACCAAGACATTGTAATCAAGCATATCAAAGCAAAGACAAGAAAAGAATCCTGAGAGCAGTTCAGGAAAAACAAAATTTACGTGCAAAGAAGGATTAAAGTCATAAAATAGGCTCTGACTTAGCAGAAACTGTTCAGGCAAGAAGACAATGGAATAACATATATAAAACCCTGAAAGAAAAAAAGCTGCCAACTAAGCATCATATTTGCAGTATAATTTTAAAAGGTAATCATTCAGATTCTATCAAATAAGATGGTGAAACAAGGTCATTTGCAGGTAAACAGAAATTAAAAGAATTTTCAAAAACCAGACCAACCCTACAAAAAATACTAAAGGGAGTTCTTTGGACAGAGCACCAACAGAAGCACACCTGAGACTAACAAAGTAAAACAGAAAAATAAGGGCACAAATAGAGAACCAGAGACACAGTTGCAATAACAACAACAACAACAACAAAACATAAAATAAAAAGGGAATAATGTAATTACAGAACTTCTAAATGAAGTGGAAATCAGATAGGTTTAACTGTAACCCTAAAAACTAGACCAAGCCTTAGTTCCTAAATGTATCCCAACGCTAAGTGAAATCCTTCCTATGCCTTGCCATAGTCCCAATACTAACCCTTACTCCTTACTCCTGCCCACCCTCCACCACTATCAAATAAAGTCCCATTCCCAAATGCCATTGGACAAGGCCTTGCATAATACTAAGGCTTGTTGTTGTTAAGTGCCATGGAGTCAGTTCCAAACCCTAACGACCTTGTAGACAAACAAGCTGCTGCTGCTGTAGTTCAAAGTGACCTTGTGGTTTAATGCTTATCCTACAGTGCCTCTCCAGGCTGCTTGTTATTAAGGGCCTCTGAGTCAGTTCCGACCCATGGCAATCCTGTTATAGGGCTTCCAAGGAGCAGCTAGCTGGTGGGTTTGTATAGCTGACCATGTGGTTCAAACCAGGCTAGGTAGAGGAAAAAATGGGGAGGTGGGACTAGGAAATTAATAGCAACATACAAAGGACTTTAAAAAGTAGAAAACTAGAATTGAAAAATATGGAAGCTTTTCCATGAACTTTTTGACACTGGTTTCATATTAAGGGTTGTTGTACTTTAACCTAAATTGCCATCAGATATAGACTACCCTGGCACATCACCACCACCATAGTGTTAGACGTTAGTAGCAATGATTACTCTGATCTCTAACTTTTTTTTCCTCACTCCCACCTCCCATAGTACTTGTGAGTCCTTACGGCTTAAATGGCACGCTGACAGGCCAAGCATACAAGATGTCAGACCCAGCCACCCGGAAGTTGATCGAGGAATGGCAGTATTTCTACCCAATGGTGCTGAAAAAGAAAGAGGCACTGAAAGAGGAAGAGGAGTTGGGCTATGACGATGATTTCCCTGTGGCAGTCGAAGTAATTGTTGGTAAGAGAAAACAATTTTGCCTGAACAATTTTTTTTCTATCCTCTTGATCATCCTTAATTTTAAAAGGTAATCATTCAGATTCACCAGAAACAAGCTCTATAATTTTCCCCTTCTTTTTTAAATCTCTTGACATAGTGTGTAATATGTTGAGTACTTATTTTGCCTAAAGCACCAATGTTTCCAATATTCCAAATGCTGTTACAGTGTTGGAGCATGCATTTACACACCTGTTCAGTCATGAAAGGATGAAACTGTCGCTTTGGGCAGTACTTCACGAGTACCTCATTATTGCCATTGGCTTGAGCTTTGACCACTGGTGTCACAAAGCTTGCAGTCTTGTGTATACTCTCGGCTAATAATACCTTGTTCTTTCCTTGTGCTCGCTCCTAACAGGTGGTGTCCGGATGGTTTATCCTTCAGCTTTTGTTTTGATCTCTCAGAACGACATCCCGGTTCCTCAGAGTGTCACCAGTGCTGGAGGCCATATTATAGTTGGGCAGCAGGGACTTGGAAGTGTGAAGGACCCAAGTAACTGTGGGATGCCCCTGACCCCTCCCACCTCTCCAGAGCAGGTTCTCATAGGTGAGTATAATGCAGGATGTCCTGGGTAGAAGAGATCTTGCCAAGTCATGTCATTCTCTTGTTAGGGAATAGGTGAAAAATTCCTTATGAGACATAATAGAGGTAGAGTAAATGTGGATTTTACAAAATAGAGAAAGATGTTTTTTTAACAGCTTGTGTGCTTCAGAATTTTAATTGTGCCCACATTAGTTTCTGCCCTAGTTGAACAATTTAATTATTCCTCTTATGTCCATCCTACCCCTTTATACACAGAGGCAGGTGACTGCTTATAGATTGTTGCCTTTCCTGCACATGGAAAACAGAATGACCACTGCTGGCCCGGGACACGTCTGGGATGACGCTGTTCTTATTATATCAGAGTGTGTTACACTAGTACCCGTGAGCCTGGGATAAATGCGTTGTCTTGTCAGTCATCATTGCATTAATAGTAAATATTAATTGCTGTTAAGTGTTTTATTTCCAATCCTGACTTTTTTTTTTTTTTTTTTAAGAACTCATTTTCATTGGCATTGTGGTCAGTAAGAAAAGGGTAATCATCAGAGCTAAATCAAAATGAGATTATTTCCAGGCATTTCATGTGAACTAACAGGTGTGGCGCTATGGGTTAATGTGCCAGACCGCAAAGCTGCAAGGTTGGTGGTTCACGCTCACCGGTCACTACTTGGAAACCCTATACAGGGTCTCTATGGGTCGGAACCAACTTTGATTGCATTTAACAACAACAAATCAGAGTAAAGTTTTGTCTGCTAGACTTTAAAAATCTCTCCACTTCCTCCCTGGGTTCCACATTTTCTTTTGGTCCATCTTTCTTGCTCTTCCCTGACTCTGAACTTTATTTGTGAGCAAATGCTGACCTTTTGGTCTTGATTGATTGACTGTTCATAGATCTATTCCATGTAGGTGTTACAAGTCTTGTCTGTTGTTTGACTGAAGGTGATCCCGGTGGAAGGTTCACTTCCAAGTTGGAAGTGTGTCAAAAGGTCACAGTTCCTTATCAGACTACTAAGTCTGTTCTTTATTATGATTTTGAGGGGTTTTGTTTTTTACATTTTTCTCCCACTCTGCCCCAGAGCTTCTATTTTGATCCTAATCAGAATTGGTAGCTGGGTACCATCTAGTTGTTCTGGTCTCCAGTTAGTGGAGGCTTGGTTCACAGGGGTCCAGGAGTCCTGTAGATTAAGCTTCTTGCTTATAGCAGTCATCATTGATGAATGAATAAAAAGACTAGAATTGTCGATATTCTTTTGAATAGTTTAAATCACATTTTATATAAAAGTTTGGATTTTTAATACTTAAAATGAAATTTTAAGTTGTTATCTGTGTAATTTGAATGTTTTTTTTTTGTTTGTTTTGTTTTGCTGATCTGCTATGTGCTCTGATCCAAACTCAAAAATTCACAATTCAAGAAACGAGTTTTTATTTATAGTGGGTTTCAATGTAGATGCCATAATTATACATCAGCTAATTCCTTCCCCTTAAACACAGTGTGTAGCTTGTGCTAGGCCCTGGGTAAACCTCTTGACACAGCCTCAGCGCTAAGTAAAATCAGCTGGCATCTTTGTAGTTAAATTCTTTTGCCCCAGTTTTGACATCTGAGCCTGTCGGATTATAGTTTAGGACCCTTAATGCCAAGTGAATCCAGATCAGCCTTGTCACTTACAGTTGGCTAATGCCCAGCACTGGCACATTTCCTAGATGTTGGGGTACAGTGGATTTCTGTACCTTCTAAAAATGATCAGGCTGGGTAGCGGGTATGGGGGAACACAGGTCAAGCTAGTTTTGGTGAAATCAGGCCTTAGTCAGATAGGGGCATTCCTGTCCTTATGTGGAGATAATTGGGGTAATGGCATTCCACATACCTATCACAGCATGACTACAAGCCCTCTTTAATTCCATGTAGCACCAGCCACATTCTTATTACATCATTAAATCCTCTGGGAAGCACTTGTTGTTAAGTGCCTTCCAATTGGTTCTGAACCATAGCCACCCTGTATAGGGTTTCCAAGGAGTGGCTGCTGAGGTTGGACTGCTTGGCCATGCAATTCAAACTGACTTTGCAGTCCAGCACGTTAGCTACGGCACCAGGACCTCGGGAAAGCCGTTGTGGTGGTGGTTGTTACGTGCCATGGAGTCGGTTCCGACCCATAGCGACCCTGCACAGTGTTTGCGAGGCTGTAAATCTTTACAGGAGCAGAAAGCCTCCTCTTTCTCCCTCAGAACAGCTGGTAGTTTTGAACTGCTGACCCTGAGGTTAGCAGCCCGATTCATAACCACTACACAGTAGCCCAACTGTAATCAGAAAAGTCTCTCTGCCTTGTTCTTCCCAGTCCCCTCCGTTTTGGGTCCGTATGACTCTCTCTTGAGACCACGGGCATTTGCTTTTTTTAGCTGTATGGTAGGATATTTGAGTGAAGAAGGCTCTATGCTATCTGTCATTATTTCTTTCTTTACTTTGCCTATTTTTGTAGTAGTCATTGAAACCACAATTGTCAAATTGAAATAAATTATTTTATACCATGAATCAAGTAATAAAAATTTAAAAAGAAAACCTGGCAATGAAAGAGTAACTATTTTGTCTCCTGTAATTGATCTCATTTGTAATACAATGATACTTTTCTGGGGAATAGGATCGTTTCACTTCTACTAAACAGGAGTTTTTGGGATTTTTCTTGACTTGATAGCAAAAATATTTACATTTTGACATAATGTTTCTTCTTTATTTGCCAGAGCAGAGTGGCGGTTTTCCACAGTGCTTAAAATTGATCACTTCTGAGAGGATGTTGTGCAGCATAGCTCTACTGAGAGTAAAACAGAGCTACTGTTATTAAATAGATGCAATGAATAGTGGTGATGGTGATTATAGGTTCTGACTCATGGTGACCCTGTGTCTGTGTAGGTTTTCCGGGGCTGTAAATCATTGTTGTTGTTGTTAAGTGCCGTTGAGTCAGTTCTGACCCATAGTGACCCTGTACAGGGTTTTTGAGGGTGTAAATTTTTACGGGAGTAGAAAGCCTCATCTTTCTCCCGTGGAGCAGCTGGTAGTTTCGAACCGCTTACCTTAAGGTTCACAGCCCGATTCGTAACCACTACGCTACCAGAGCTCGTTTAGAGGAGCGATATAATCTCCTCTTTTTCTTATGGAATGGATTGTAGGTTTGAACTGCTGATCTTGTAGTTAGCAGCCTGACTTGTAACCCACTACACCACCAGGGCTCCTTGGCAATTGACTTTGTTTTTGTTGTTATTAAATACCATTGAGTCCTTTATAACTCATGGAGACCCTGTATAGGGTTTCTGAGGACCAGAACTGCTCCTGGTTTGAACTGTTTATTGGTTAGCAGTCCAATGCTTGTCTTACAGTGCCCCAGCAGGACCCCGGCAATTAACTTTAGTAAATACGCATCGCAGTCAGTATTATGAACAAGCAGAGTGGGCAGAGTGGAAAGGGAGGGATGGAGTGTATACCAACTGTATTTGGAAAAACTAAGAAGAGTTAGTAGAGAGAAAGCAGTGAATTCATAACTCTCTGAAAGAAAATGTCAAGACAACTTCTTTCGGTGTTTCAGTGCTCAGCTTTCATAAATAGTGTCAGGCATAAGGACAAACAGTTCCACGCACGTTTGAAATTTGACCTTGTTGAATGCTTTGTGCCATTGTGGTATTCTACCCAAAGCACTGTGTGTGGTTCTACAGCTCCCTCTACTGTTCTTCTACTGTCTTGGAGCTTATTGTTATGTGGGGATTCAGAAATCCATGTATGTTTACATCTTTAACACTGTGACTGGGTGGGTCTTGGATTCGATACCCAGAGTGTCTCTGCACATCCTCTGGGTGTGGATGTGATCACAGTAATGGCTTTGGAAGAACACAAATCATACCCATAAGTATGCTGTTGTTATAAAACGCCTTCAAGTCGGTTCTGACTAATGGTGGCCCTGTATAGGGTTTCTGAGAATCGGTGGGTGGGTTTGAACCAGTGACTTGTGGTTCAAACCAACTGTGCAGTCCAGGGCTTATCCTGCAGTGCCACACCAGTGGTATTTTCATGGGGCAGGGTCAAAGCCACCTGAATGAGTTTTAGCACTTATACTATGTCTGTTAAAGAAGCAGGCAGTGTGTGTGTGCTAGAAACCCCGCTCAGAAAACTCTGACATTCTGAATTGTCTTGTATTTTCCAGGTGAGAGTGGAGGTACGCAGAGTACTGTCAGCCATCTAGGTTCCCAAGAGGGAGGGATGATAACTATGCACAGTCCAAAGAGATCGGGGAAGATTCCTCCAAAACTCCACAATCATATGGTCCACCGAGTCTGGAAGGAATGCATCCTCAACAGAACCCAGTCCAAGTATGTCTTTGGTTTATGTCTGGACCATGGTTTGGTTTAGTAACCCTCCTTTTGATTCCTGCACATAAAGGTTTCAACAAGTTGCGCTGCTGTAGGACCAACCTTGGGAGGTCATTAGAATGGGATTTGATCTTTTTAGGATGTAACAGTAAAATTCAAACAAAGATGTTAAACATTTTTAAAAACACACACACATTTATTTTACTCTGTTTGATTATCCATTAAATTGTAAAAGGTCTTGATTATTTAAAGATTGGCATAATGTCTGTCTGACATTTTTCAGCATGCGTGGCTCAGAACTTCACCCTAAGGGTCCATACAGTTTCAGTTTTCCTTTGTGTTCCCATTTGTGAGAATTTCCCAAAAACAGAGAGAAAAACATCCTTTGTAACTTGTTCTTTTTTACTCTCTTTGCATTGCATTTGAGAATCTGAACTGAGCTGAGGACTATTAAAGGGGGTGTGTGTTATAGCTGCTGTGCTTCAGTCTGTAGGTTTGGGGGCAATGATACTTCTCCACCAATCAACTTAACTCTCCTTCCCCTCAAACCCCACTCCCCTCACTTTCTTCCTATCTCATTTCATTTTTCTTTTCTTCCTTCACTTCTTTTTGGAATAGGGGAGGATTAATTCTAAGAACTGACTGCTTGTGATTATTTTAATTGTCTAAATGAAAATGATCACAAAAGTCATCAAGACCTTATCTAAACATATCATCAGGGCATTTTACTGTGTGGTGATTATATATTTACAATAAAGCAAAATGTCCACTTTTGACGGATATAGGTAAACCAATCCAGAGTCTCGAGTCTCTGAAACAGAATGCCTATGGACACCCTCATCAATAACTACTCATATAACTGCTCATTCAGAAATTAAACAAGTACTACATAAGTGAACTACTATTTGCACTTTTAAGTACAGAGTTAAAACCTGTACTTTGGACTCAGCTTTTAGCAAATACATGCTATCTTGTTATTTCCCTATGGATTGGTTTTAGAATAGACTGCTAAAGAAGTAGATATAACCAAAAACTTTGCCATTAAAAATCACACATCGCCTTCTTGAATTTAAAAAGGCATCTCTCTGGTCACTTAAAAGCAAAATAGAAAAAGGTCTTTTTCTTTAGAAAAATTAATTCCAATATCTTCTTCACTTCTATCTGCAGTGCCTAGCTCATTTCCAAGTTCACATTTTCTTCTCCTTTCCTCTCACCCATTTTGATTTTTGTCACCAGCAGCTTTCCCCTCCATCAGTCCTAGAAGACTGGGGTCCCTCTCTCGGGGACACAGTGCAGGGTGCTAAAACCCATGGGAGGTGGGGGGGCAGTGGAGAGCAGAAGCAATCCCTGCAGAGCTCTGGGAACACCGAACACCAGGCGGTCACTCTCAGCTGTAGCAAAATCTGAAATCCAAAGCTACTGGCTGCGTTCTCATTTTTGCAGCAGACTAGTAGTAGCTATCCACTTTTTGCTATCACTTATGAGTGATGTGTAGGACACATTTTTTATTTCTGTCCTTTGCTTGATAGTAACAGTGGTGAAATGCTGTCCTTAAATGCTGGCCAAGTACAAGGGGGCTTCAGAAAGTTGGTGTAAAAATTCCATTATCTTTTTATTCCATTTTCATGAGCTTTTTAAAGCCCTCTTGTATTACAAGTTATTTCTACCTAGTTTAACAGGCCTTTTTCTTCCTTTGTTTTTTTAAGCAACAACTGAGATCGCTAGATACTACTTTAACTATGTTAAACTACTAAATTTAACCAAAAGAATCCTGCTGCTTCTATTGCATAGAACCAAGTGGTCGTTTAGGTCTTGGGTTGCTCTGAGCGTATGCCAATAGGATATCATTACTGTGTACACTATATGAAAGCCTTATGAACATGCCCCTCCACAGAAGTAAAATCTCTGTCTCCTGTTTACATATCAATCACATTTTAACCCTTTTAGGAGGAGCCAAATGTCAACTCCAACTCTTGAAGAAGAGCCTGCTAACAATCCTGCTACTTGGGATTTTGTGGATCCGACCCAAAGAGTTAGCTGTTCTTGTTCCAGGTGGGTAATCAGGTCAAATGGAATTGGATAGTGATGGCCAATGTTGTTGGCTCTTCTCCAGGTCTCTCTACCCCTTCTTTCCTGCCTCTTGGTTGTTGCATTTTTTTCCTCCTCCAGTAGAGAAGGAGACATGTCCAGTTTCTTCTTACTTGCTGAGGATCCCGTCATGTTGACAAGGCATCTGGCCCTCTTAGCAAATTGCTCCCACCCATGTATGTCTTCAGCTCAGCTACTGCAGAACTAAAGTTTGACATGAGCATGTTTCTAAATGGTTATTTAATTGCTTGAAATTCTGAAACATAGGTAGCCTTTTGAATACAGTTTTACTTGAGTTAGCTAGGATTTGGAGTAAACTGCTTCACTAGATCCTTTCTTTTTTTTGTCATCATGGTTGGTAGGAGTGATGATATGTTTGTATGGCTGCATCAGATAATTGGTCATGATACTAAAAGCTCAGTTGGTTGCAGCCATGGGCTCTCTTGCTTGCTCACTCATTTAGATGTTTGAATAGGACCCCAAGCCTTTGTCCATAGGAGATGTGTGTGCTTCTCATGTAGTTGTCATGACTTATTGCTTCTTGTGGTAATAAAACATCTTATTCTGTCCCAAGTCTTTATGAGGACTCAGCTTTCTGCAGTGGCTGTCAACGTCAGTCTTGCCCCTCTGCTCAGAGTATGTACTGCTGAGTCTTCATTAGCTCTGGCCTCCAAGATCCCTTCTCAGTTTGGTCCTGTTAGTTTTAAGCTTACTTTAGAGAGGTATGCTTAGAAGATAGCCAGCTATTCCTGTAGTTTAGTCAGAGACTCTTAATGTGGCATAAACGAATTGACTCCAGGGTGGGGAGGTAGTTCATGTACCCCCTAGGAATATATATAAATGTGTGTGCATGTGTTCACTGTCACTTTTTATCAGTAGAACCATTTTGACACCTTCCTCTGTCCTCCCTTCTCTTTAAGTTGATTCTCTTTGGTATGGTTCTGCCTTGGTAGTCAACTTTTTGTTGAGAGATGTTACAAGTATACGCCTAATGAAGCCCAGGATTGATTTTTTTTTTTCCTGGGAGGATGTTTTTGAAGAAGTTGCTCATTAAGAGTCTTCTCTCTGAGGATGGTCTCTCTCTGGTCTTGGCACAAAAATAGAATACTACAGTTGAGTGCTCATTTTTGTCTCTAGGTCATTGTGAATTGTAGAATCAAAGCTCTTTTTTCACTAACATGGACCTCTAAAAAGTTCACTGCCAAGTCAGTGTCTGCCTTTAGCAAGTACATGGAATATACCCTTTGTATGTACGACTTCATTGTACCTTCATCTTATATTTTTTGTGTTATTTTCTTGATCTAGATTTTTTTTTTTTTCTGATTACAGAAATAACCCATCTTGCTAATTTCTGTCACATTTTTATTAGCATCTTTGGATTTTTTTTTAAATGTCTCAAGTGTAATTAAGCAAATAAAGTTCCATCTTTGCCATTTGGTATGATTGCTCCATTTTCTTTCCTGATTCTTGCACCTTCAGGTCCATCTTGTAGCTCTGCTGCCCATGACACCATTCCCTTAACTTCCAAATATTGATCTGTAGACCTCTCACACAAACTCTGGTCTTGTGTATTTTTGGCATGGAAGTGGCTATATGTGTTATATTGTTGTGTCTGTTTCTCAGCAAACTGGGAAGTCTTATTTCAGTATATGCCCCCCCCCCCCCCCAATCTTTTCAGCCTGGAAACCTTACCGTTAATTTTTTTCCCCATTCTACAATGACTTCTTTTGAAATGTCTTGTTTTATGCACTCTGCTTTCTTCCTTCTGTTTGTCACTATGTTGTTTCTACACAGCTGGGGCCTGCCTCACACTCCCTCCCATCGCCAGTCCACCCAGAGCTGCAGCCTGCTTCAGCCATGCTTCTTTCCTGGGTAGAGATTTGCAACGAGTAGTCTATTAGCCTACTGGTATATTCTTTTCTTAATGATAGCTGTTTCACAATATAGAGCTGAGTTATTAAATACAGTTGGAAAACGGACTTTATAAAATTAGCCATTTACAAAAAGTCCTTACTTTGAAGAGGCTGCCAGGAAGTGTTTATCAGAGAGTTAGTGTGATTAAATTCTGAGAAAATCCAAATTAGAGTTTCATGTAAGATAATTTTAAAGCTTAAGTTTTAAAATAAGCACCTTGAGAAGATAGAGTGGAGGTCTTTTGGAGGAGTTGTTGTTCAGTGCATAGAGACATTTGTAGCGTGCTATGGCACTGTGCCTTGAAGGTTTGCAGCACACTTAGCTTTTGGGTCAGTAGCTAACACAGCCCTCAAAGTCAGGATATTTGGGGGTTTTAGAGTAGCAAAGATTTTGGCGAGAGATTTTTGAGATTATCTGTTGTAGGATCACAAAGCCCATTATAGAGTCGTCTACTCCTCACACTATTTAGTGGTCTTAGGGGGCAGAGCGGTCATCCTGCTATCCCACTAAACCATCCGTTGATGCCACACAAATCCATTTTACTGCCCACTCGGGCATCGTTGAATGCATTGCAGCAGTAATTTAATGTCACCCTAGTGGCCTCAGAGAGTCACTGCGCTAGTGGCAGGCGAGTATATGGTTTTTGCTGCCAGTGGTTTCTATGTTGGGTGGAGCTGGCTGACGTGCTATAGCTTTCTTGCACAGATTAAACCTTGGCATCCTCAACTGAGCAATTTCTCATACTCAGGCTTGCCAAGAAGTGTGTTAGGCTGTAAGCAGATATGCTCGTCCTGCTGGGTGGTTGAAGAGCGTGTGTGTGTGTGTGTGTGTGTGTGTTGTTTTCGTCTTCATTCACAGCCTTTCACTCTGTGTCATCCTCACGTGTGTCCTTGTGTCTTAGATGATGGTGGTATGTGAACTTTCTCCTGTACACTGTACTTACCCTGTTCAGTGTTGGTCACAGTTTGGAAGAGAGTTGTGTGTCATTGCTAGTGTACAAAAGTGCAACCCTGTATAAGTCGTTCTGGGTTAGAGTTATTCTATATAGAAAATGTAACTTTAAAAAAAAAAAATCTGGCCAGAAAACTTAATGATTCTAGGTTATCAGATGCCATAAGAATAGGTTATCTGAAGTCCTCACCAAGTTTGAAAGAGTTGAGGAGTTTTCAAGTTGGTAACTGTGCAGGGATTAGCAGTTTGCCCTTCTTGAATTTTTCTCTTAACTCCTGAACTTGCGTATGATTAAGTCATTATGTCTTTTAATGGTTTGGAATTTAAAAGAAATCTAGAGTTCTAGTAGCTGAATTTGTGCAGGTAATGTGAGCATAAACCAACAGAGCTTTGGCAGAGGGATCACTTTATAATGGTGTGATGATGCATTGGTTTTCATTTGTGCATTTGTTGATTGCATTTTCATTCTTATTTCAGGCATAAACTTTTAAAACGTGCAGCAGGACCCAATCGACCTCCCACAATTTCTCAACCAGGGTTCATTGCGGGACCATCATCATCTTCATCTTTACCACCTCCTGCTTCTTCTAAGCACAAAACAACAGACAGACAGGAAAAGGGAGACAAGTTGCAGAAGAGACCCTTGATACCATTTCACCACAGGCCCTCTGTGGCTGAAGAGTTATGCATGGAGCAAGATACACCAGGACAAAAGCTGGGGTTGGCAGGGGTGGACTCCTCCTTAGAGGTGGCAAGCAGTCGGAAGTATGATAAGCAAATGGCCGTGCCTTCCAGAAATCCAAGCAAGCAGATGAATCTGAATCCTATGGATTCCCCTCGCTCCCCCATCTCCCCTCTGCCGCCAACCCTCAGCCCTCAGCCACGAGGTCAGGAAACAGAGAGTTTGGAGCCACCATCTGCCCCTGTGAATCCAGCCCTCTGTGGAAATGGCATCGAGATCCAGCCGTTGTCTACTCTGGATGACAGAACTGTCCTTGTTGGCCAAAGACTGCCTCTGATGGCAGAGGTCAGCGAGACAGCCTTATACTGTGGGATCAGGCCCTCCAACCCAGAGTCCTCAGAGAAGCGGTGGCACAGTTATTGCCTCCCACCCAGTGAAGATGTTGAGTTCAGACCCCCAGAACTCCAGGGCGAGAGATGTGATGGCAAAGTGGAGGTGAATGCAGAGAGCACTGCACTGCAAAGGTAAGGCGCTGGCAGACCCCCTGCCCAGGCGCAGCCTCCTCCCCACTCCTTGCTCAGCCCTCTCGACAGCAGTGTGTGTGTAGACAGGACTTAGGAGTCCAACGCCTGGTGCTTCATGAAGGCTGGCACACACATCATTATGGAAACACACTGAAAGCTTCCTTGGGACATTGTACTGTTATTATGTATTTGTTTATTTTTATCTACACTTATGTTAATCAAAGCCTCGCTCTTTGTGTATGGCGCCTTTCCCCAGTGCTGTCAGCACCTCCTTGCTGTTGACACTCCTGAGGAAGGCTTTGCATACACTCAGGTATGTAGCATTCATCTAGTCATAGTACTTACTACCACTTCATAGTACTTGGGAGCCACCTGGTATACTCAACACTTCACACGGCTTGTCTCATTTCATCTTCACCACAACCTGATGATTATCTTCACTTCAGAGCTGAGAAACCGAGGTCCTGCAGTTAGTGAATGACACAGGTGGAATTTGAACTGAGGCCGCCTTCCCTAGATCCCACAGAATCAGGAAGAAAGCCACATATTCTTGGCATTGCTTAGTACCATATATTTCATAGTGAATATAATCTCCAAAAGGGATTCACCTAGTAGTTGTGCTTTTTAATGTCAGCCCTATAAATGCTTAAAATCATATTGCAGCTTTGGTGGGGGATTGGTTTTGGCTTTGTTTTGAAATCACTTGCCTTGTTCATCTTGATGAAATCGTCTGTTTTTCCTTTCAGACTCTTAGCACAGCCTAACAAACGGTTTAAAATCTGCCATGACAAGCAGCCTCAAGTGCAGCCGCTCCCCTTCCTGGACCCATTGCCTCTCACCCCACAACCTGGAGAGAGTTTGGGAGAAGTCAATGACCCATATACCTTTGAGGATGGTGACATAAAATACATCTTTACAGCAAACAAGAAATGCAAGCAAGGCGCGGAGAAAGATTCCCTGAAAAAGAATAAGGTACCATTTGACCTAGAGAGGGTCCCGCAAGGTGTGGACTTCTATCTATGGCAACAGCACGCTTGTGGGAAGACGTTTTTGAGGCAGAACATTTGAGATAGTCTTGCCTGATTGCTGTGCCCCCATACTCATGCTCTTGGTACTATTGTATTGAACAACGTATTGTTCTTTTTATGTCATGGCTCACCTTTGTTTAAAAGTCAGCCGAACATAAATGAAGCCTCATATCTTCCAGGCTGTAGCTCGTCTGGTGCATGTTTCTTCTCATATGCTAATTCTTGTTGGCCTATGCTCCCTATTTCTTTTTAAGTAACATTCAAAAATACCTGAAATGTAAAGGGGGAAGAAAGACAAATAATGAAACGGTGACACTATCTGCTGTTAGTATACTGAGCGTGCATTGTGGTTATGATACTACACGCTTTACCGATATAGCTCCCTGAATTAATATTGACACTCTTCACAAGCTGTCACGGTTAATTTTACTGGTTTTATTGACAGTACTGGTTGTGTCTGCTGTCTTTTAACCTTAAAGTTAAAGACACTAAAATACTTGGCAGTGAAAGCAGTATTCTTGAGAGTAGATTAGAGAGGACAATTACAAAACAGGTCAGTTTGATTCAGGACAATGTTTCATAGACTCCTCCTTTACAGAGATCTGGATAGCGTGAGAAAGTGTGATCCATAATTCCGTGTCTAAGATGTTATAAAAGGCAGCTTGGACCACCCTGGCAGGCTGGTCTGTAGTCCAGTATCATGTAGGCAGAAAACCCTGACTCCCTTAGAATGCCCATCCAGATTAAAGGGGACATGGGGGAGCTCTTGGTTCTATTTCAGCTCAGGACAACGGGCATCTCTTTGATTTCCTCTGGTTGCATAGACCATGGTTTATCATACTTGTGCTCATAACAAGTTCCATTCTGCCCTCTAATTCTTTGTGTTTCCCTCATATTGCACACTTTGGGTTGGTGTTCATGTGTTTTGTTTGGCTGAATTTGTTACACAGTCAGAGGATGGATTTGGTACCAAGGATGTCACTACACCAGGTCATTCCACGCCGGTGCCTGATGGGAAAAATGCCATGTCTATTTTCAGTTCTGCTACTAAAACAGGTGTGTACAATGATTATTTGCCTGACTTGGATTGTTGCTAAAATAAAATGCAAAGAGTTGCTTCTCAATTTAATATAGTCTTACTGTAGTAGCAATAATTTGATCTCATCTTTAGTATTTTTTCTTAGCTTGTTTTTCAGTTCCTTTCAAAACTGACAAACATATTTTCAAATAGTGGTTTCTAAATTGAATTAAAGCTGTAGGGAAGACAGGCAGGTCTTGTGCATTGAGATCCGTGTCCTCTCCTCACTCCTTGTCCCTCGGTGAAGCTGCTTACTCTACTCCTCTTGCCTCCTTTCCCACAGATGTCCGGCAGGATAACGCTGCTGGCAGAGCTGGCTCCAGTAGCCTTACGCAGGTGACAGATTTGGCACCTTCCCTGCATGACTTAGACAACATCTTTGATAATTCTGATGACGACGAACTTGGGGTGAGTGTGCCATACCTTCACATACAGAAGTCTCCCTCCAAGGGAGGACACTGATGGTGCACTTTCAGGGCATGTTTGTAGTGTGAGCTACTGAATTTGGGAGCACTTATTTTAGGTTTTGAATGTTCATAAAAATGCTGCTGTTTGTAGAAAGAATTTCAGAAACTACTAGTGTATAGTATCTGAAAGACATTGAACTTTGTTGAAGACCTTTTTCTTTACTATGATTTCTCTTGTAAAGATTTCAGTTTTTCACATTTATATTAATAACTCCTACTAAATACCATGGGGCTGATAGAAATATGTTAATGTAGTTCCTCTAGGTCAATTTTGACAAATTCTGTGTGTTTATCTAATAGGTCAGAGGTAAATCTACATTTTGATAGCTACATAATACAAACCTGATACTAGGAATGTGACATAATAGTAAGGTGGTGGAATTTATGCAGTTATAAGTTGAAGAATATAAGGGATCACATGCTTAAAGTGAGAGATGAGAAGAATTGTCATTTTTTCAGTAACAGTTGGGCGAAGAGTCTGTCCGTCGGTGTCCTTGTCCTCCTAGCCAATTCTGCTCCTTTAGCTGAATACACTGTTTTCTCACATAGAGTGTGTCCATGTAAATGACATATATAATGTACAGGGTGTACATAAGAAACTAACAAACAAGGGGGTGTATAGTTTGCAGAAAAACCATATATCACGCACACTATGGAATAATGTGGTAAGGCACGTGCCCATTGTTTGTGGAGACTCTAGGGTTGATCCTTAGATGGCTCCCTTTATATCCATTTTACATACTTTGTTAATCATCTGATGATGTGTTACTTTGTGATGGGTACTACGCCTAACTATGGAGGTTACAGAAATGATTCTCTTATTACCTTCATACTTGAGACACAGACTTAAGGAGAAGTAACATACTAAGCTTACAGTAAGTCAACAGTTTGAAAATACCAGCTTTCCCATGGGAGAAAGATAAGACTTTCCGCTTCCATAAAGACTTACAGCCTCAGAAACCCTTTGCAGGGTCACTGTGAGTTAGAACCGACGCCACAGCACACCACCACTACCACCACCACCACCACCATCAAGCTTACAATAACCTTATTACTGCATAGGCCCGAGTCTGAAGAAGCTGTAGGTTCAGATACATAGGGACAGGGGAGGCTTAAGTTTTAACGGATAAGACTTTATGGTTAAGTAGCAATCACATTCCTAAGACTCATTGCTCTTTAAAAATAAAATATATCTGCTTCACAGGTAATATACACCGTTCATGTCATGAGTATGTGAAGATGATGAGTCCATAAGGTTCTCAAAGAATGGATTTGACTTGCATTGTGGAAAGCCTGGGGCCAATGAGAGGCAAGGGAAGGAACAGCAGCTATAGTTAACAAAATGAAAAAAGTCAAAGGATTTGGGCAGAATAATGAATGGAACTTAGGTCTGCTTTTCTGATGTTGAGGAGAGTGAGTGATGGTTAGGAAGGTTTTTGGCCAAACTCAGACTGTATTATAGATGTAGTGTGTTCCTCGGGTGACTGCTGAGTATAGAACTGAGCTGCATATCATTCTGATTCATAGCAGAACTATTGCAGGGTAACTCTTGTGGATGAAAACATGAGGACCTGAACGTGTGAGTGAGTGCAAGGAAAGGACGTGGCAGTGTGAGAAAAAACTTTGGTAGAAGAATCAACAAGTTTTCTTATTGCTGGTCAAAGCATTGGACGTCCTTTATGAACCTTACTCCTGGTATGACGCTCTACGATAGGCACTGGACTGTGGAGTCGGAATCGACTCAGTGACGTTTTATCAACAGCAGTCTTAGTAAAGGAGTCCTGCTGTGGCACTGTGTAGGATAGGCACTGGACTGAACCACAAGGTCGGCAGTTCAGACTCACCAGCTGCTCCTTAGAGACACTATGAATTGTCACTGTGAGTCAGAACTGACCTGATGGCAATTAACAGCAACATCTGTGTAAAGCTGTCTATTGCCCACGATGCCAGTCTTCGGAGCAGGACCAGGCAGTTGTGCATAGGGGGTACTGTGAGTTGGAACTGACTTACAGCACCTAACAACAACAACAAAGGGTTGGGAGATACGTCTTTGGTGATGATTTTGGTGCAAAGTATGAAAAGAAAAGCCATCACAAATTAAAGAAACAGAAGGGGGGAAAGGCAGGGAAAGCATACCGAGTGGCCCCATGTTAACCTGAGCCACCATTGCTCATGACTGCTCCCCTCTCAAACACCATCTGCATCCGTAGTCACCATCTGCATGAAGTACAAACGACTAGTGGATTGAGTGTTTGCTATAAGACATTGCAATATAATTTTAGTAATGTCAATATGTAAGGGACAATTGAACATTTTAAATCTAATTTTCATTTCTCAAGAATGAGTGTTGCTACTTAACTGTGATTTCTTGCCGAGCATTTACATCAAGTGAACAGTTTACCTTAAAACCATTTGCTGATTCATCATGCTAGTAACACGAATTGTCGTTTGACTGAACTCCATCTCTAATGTCTTTGAATGTAATTTTACCTTTTAATTTTGTAAAAGGGGAAAAACACTTAAAATCAAAAGCTCGTCTAGGTGTAATCATCTTTTTTTCCTTTGTGTTATTTTGTCTTTAGTTTTTAAGTAAATTCATTTGCGTTCTTAAAGATGATCTTGCCTCATAAGGGACTCTAAATAAGAGATCAGAGAAGAACCTTCTGCATATTTAAGTAATTTTATGTGATAAGGTTATTTTTTGTAAAGATCATTGGTGACTGTTGTAGTCAATTGTGAGAAGATACTTGGTTTGTCATGGTGAAAAGGAGGAAAAAGTCACTTGGGAGGGCTTGAGGTCATCTCTGAGCTGCTTGCCTCCACACTAAAGGGAAACCAAACCCATTGCCAAGTCCAGTTGGAGGTGCCCACCTAATGTAATCCTGGAGTCTGTGAGCCCACTCTAATGACCAGGAGGAAAGATGTGTGAAGGGTTTGCTGCTTCTGCTCTGGTGGCAGTCTGCCCTCACCAGATCCAGGAACAAAAGCCCTAAGCAGTCTGTGTCTCCTACCTGCTAAGCTTGTAACCAGTTCCTTTGTTTATTCTGCTGGCATTTCTAGTTTGCCCCTGAGCTCTATGTAAGAAGACCTCTTCATTTTTAAGTCCGCCTTGGCATACACTCAGAAAGGGTTGATGTCTGCCTTGCTTACACACACACAGATGCGTGCTCTGTTGTAACATTGATGCTCTGCTCTTAGGCTGTATCACCTGCACTGCGCTCATCAAAAATGCCTCCAGTTGGGACAGAAGACAGACCTTTTGGGAAGGATGCAAGGACTGCTGTTCCTTATCCACCAAGTAAGTGGAACAAGCTGAGCGTGGTCTGCCTCACTGCCTGAAGCTCCCCACAGTCTCCAGGCTCTCTCCTCTCTCTTTCCTTTGGCACAGTTCCAACTTTGAACTACAACTTGTGTGACTTGCTGTGGCTCTGGTGATGGGAGTCAGTCACCTAAGAGGGAGCATGGCCGCTTGAATTCCTTTCCTTTGCTTTCAAATTAAGAATTTTCTTTTATGGTTTAAAATACAGAAAAACAAACAAATATATTTAAGTTTGGTTTTCTAATAGTGCTTTCCTAGTAGGATAAATGCTGCTCAAGTGATTTTCACGGAAATGACTCGAAGAGTTTCTGTTTCAATTTTCATACATTTAACACCACAGAATAATGAATATTTTCTGTGCTTCTTATTTAGCACGCTGAAGTAAAGTTTCTGTGTTTTCTTTTGGAAATCACCTAGTTTTTATTATGTATTTAGATTGGAAGAAAAAAATTTTTTTCTCTCTCTCTAGTGGGTTCTTTACCCTACGTTGTTCTAGCAGAGAAAAGCATGTCGGTGTAACTTAAGTAGGTACTCTGAAGCAGGACCCTTACTGTGTTGCAAATCATTCTGTGATGCCTTCTCATTACTTCAGCTGTAATGAGAACAAATGGAGGGGAAAGCCCACCCTGTCACAGGGATGAGTCACAAAGGTTTATGACCCTATAAATGTAGCTCTGACTTACTCAAATGTACAAGTGTGAACTATACAGAGATTGCATTTTGACAGCTTTAGTGGATCCATAGCTTTTTAAAATATGCAAAGTTTTCTCAAGCATGACACATATGAAAATGAATAATGATAGCCAGCCAGTTGCTGTGGCTTTTTTAATTACACATCTTTCTTATTTTACTACTCTGCACTGCAGAATTTTACAAACATGGAACTCACAGATGAAAAGAAACGCCACTGAGATAGAATCATTTTGGACTAGGTCAGAGGGATGGATTTCTGCCCTTGTATTGAACTCTGGTTAGCCCTCTACCCTGTTGTACGTTAAGTGATACATGAAATCTCAGGTCATTTGTCCGAGATGAGTCCGTTACCAATTAGCATGCTAGTTAGTGCCCAGGACAGAAGTGTGTGCTCTCCTTTCTGTTCAAAACTGAGTTGTTTCAAAGAGAAGTTACTCAAACTTTTATAATGGAACATAAAAACCCAAAAAAAATCAAACCCACTGCCATGTAGTCGATTCTAACTCACAGTGAGCCTACAGAGGGTTTCCAGAACTGTCCATCTTGTGGAGTGCAGTGGCTGCTGGGTGAACCAGTGACCTTCCGTTCAGCAGTCCAGCAACACTTTACCCACAGTGCCACCAGGGCACCTTATAGTGTTGTCACGTGCCGTGGAGGAGCAGCTGATTTGTTTGAAGCACTGACCTTGGGGTTAGTAATTCAGTGCTTATCTTAAGTGTGTATTGGAGAGAGTGGGAGTTTGGGGTTTCTCAGCACCCCAACTTAACAGGTTCACTGGATCAGGCAGCTAAATGAACACTTAAAGTATGGTGGGGAGACGGCTCATTGCTTTATTTACCAAAACAGCAGTCAGCTCAGGAAGGGGTCTCAGGTCATCGCTTAACCGCTGCCCTCTCTAGCTCTCAAGAGCTCTCTTGGGCATTCTCCCTTCTGTGTCTCTCTGTTCTCTCTACCCCTCAAGTGGGGTAAACTCCTTATGTACTACTACAAAACAGAGAAGGCATCTTGCCAAATACCACCCACAGGTTATAGAGCAGTATGACATCATTCTAATACGGCGGTGTGCATAGTAGTGACTTAGCATTCCCTGATTTCCTTCAGAACCACCAAGTGGCCCCCCGGCCAGGAGAGGGTTCTGATAAGCTACAGCCACTCCCTGGCTAGTGCCACCTTCTGACCCAACAGCACAACACCACACCAGGACTCCTATCTATAGTGGTAGTGGTAGTTGTGTGCCATGGGGTTGGTTCTGACTCATAGAGTGACCCTGTTTCCAAGGCTGTAAATATCTGGAAGCAGAAAGCCTCATCTGTCTCCCATGGAGCGGCTGGGAAATTTGATTGGCTGACTTTGTGATTTACGTTATAAATATTAATGAATTTGGAACCTAACACAGAAATCGTAGCATTAGGAAAACTCTAGTACAAATATTAAAAGGATCTTTTAATTTCTACTAAGTATCTGTGTGTCTGCTTGTGGACGTACAAAGTACTTCCTCTTAAGAAATGCCAGTGAAAATCCCCTCAGAAGAGGTTTCATCGCTACAACAACTTGACTGGACATTGCCTTAGGCACACATATTATAAAATCCACTGTCCAGAGAAGTAGTGTCCGAAGAAGTGAGAGCAACAGGTGTTGTCATTTAATTGTATAATAGCCACAGTTTAAAATGTAAAAAGAAACAGTGAAATTCATTTTAATGATATGTTTTAACTTCATGCATTTCGTTATTTCTACATTGACTCAGTATAAGTAGTATTGAGAAGATTTTCATTCTTTTTGCTCCTCACTCTTTAGAATCTGTGCATTTTACATGTGCAGTGCATCTCAGTATGGACAGGCCCTCCTTCCTGTAGCTAGTGAGTGCTGTGGTGGGCGGCACAGGTCCATAATGATTGATGTGTGTGAGACATCAGAAGGAAGAAGGCAACCATCCAGAACACGTAGGAAGTGTACTTGAGTGCCAAGTGTCTGTTCATTTAAATGTTGTTCTGTTGTGATAGAGTCAAAGTATGAATGTATGTTCATTTTCTTAGGTTTAGTTGTGAGCTAATTGTTCATGAATTTGATCTTTAAGAGTATGTCAGTTTGCAGTTAAGAGTCTTTCAAGGGGCAGAATGAATGAGAGGCTTTGAGCTTCATTCATGTTGTCTGTAAGAGCACCTCTTATTTGCAAGGAGCTCTGCCAGGTGCCCAGTGGTGGGAGAGCACTTGGGAGTCAGTTGTACTGAGGAAGGAACACTTGCCTAGTACCTGGGAGATGAGAGCTGGCCGAGGAGCTCCTGCTGAGTGAAGTGAAAACAGGACAGAACATCTGACTAAACTGAGCATTGTGGGCCACACAGCTCACCTGTGGTTCCTTCTGGCATCTGTACCCTCGGTCATGTTGCCATGTTTTAGGAAGAAAAGTGAACACTCAAACTTGATTTTTTTTTTTTTAGATCCAAAGACTTTTTTCTGGTCTTCTGCATTTTTCTACCCTCTTGGAGTCCAGTCCCTTTGCTCTGTTTTCATAGTCGGCTGAATTTGAGCATAGTGTTGTGGCTACTGTGTCACTCCATGTAATGGAGGGCTTCTTCTTTTTCTCTTACCCTCTATTTAGCCAAGTATGATGTCCACCTCCAGGGACTAGTCCCTACTGACAATATGTCCAAAGCATGACAGTATGTCCATGCTTCTAAGGAACATTTGGACTACGGCTTCCAGCACAGATCTGTTCACTGTGTCCTCAGTTGTGTGAACTGTTAAATTCCTTAATGGTAGCCTGCTCTCAAATCAAGAAGGTGCCTTCAAGATCCACTTGGGACTTTTTGTTTTCTTTCTTTGCTGCTTAGCAATTCAGAGTCTCTCTCCTTTTTCCTGCCTCTCTTGGCTGAGGTGATTGGAAGTTTTCAGCCCTCTCCCATGAAAAAAAGAAAATAAGGCTACCTGCAGAGACCCACATGCCCGGTTAGATGAAGGGCCTGATGCCCAAAGAGAAGGGGACCCGACCTTGGCAGAGCTGTGCCCTGGAGCTCCCAATGGTGGCCTCTGTCCCTGGGCAGGGGATGACTTGGCTGCTCTCTGTGACTTCCTATCTCACAGCTGGACATCAGATTCTTGTCTGTTGTTGTTAAGTGCCATCCAGTTGGTTGGACCTTATATAGGCTTTCCCAGGAGGGAGAGGTGAATTTGAACTACCAATCTTGTGGATCTTTGCAGACCAGCGCATTAACCCACAGCGCCACACCAGGACTCTACATAGCCGACATTCTTGGACTGTTTAAATGTTAAAGTTGATAGAAAGAACAATGTGATAGGATATAGGACATGAGAGTCCGAATCACCGACTTCAACTTGGTGCTCCACCTCGTCAATAAAATGGTTGCGCAGATCACCACCTAGTGGCCACATATCACAAACACAGTTCGCATTCTCTTGCATAGCTCCCTACCTGAGGAATCAGCAGCTGTTGCTGATGAAGTTATTTCAGTTATATGTTAATGTGATATTTTTTCCTAAGTGTGAGTCACCATTCTAAGTATTTATTAAGAGAAAATTTTTATTATAGATTGTCCTTCTGTTCTAATGAAGACTGTTGCTTCTAAATAGGAAGTTTCATTTGAATGTCAGTCTGGAAGAGTTTCCCCAAACAGCAGCTATCAGTGTTGTGGATGTGCCAACAAGCTGAATAACCCCATTGTGTACCAACTAGCATTTTTAATTTCAGACTGTTCTCATTGCCCTGTGATATAAATGCCTGATATTGTCCCTGATGACTTTTCTGGGACGTACCTGCTGTGTAACATTTGTTATGTAATTCTGAAGTGTTAGATACTTAACTGTAAGTTGGGAATAGAACTTTTATTAAAAGGATTCCTCTACCTCAGTACTTTGAATTTCTAACAGTTTGTCTTCTTACATGTATAAATAAACCTAGTTGTTGGAAGAAAAAAAAAAAAAAAATGCTATGTTGGTTTTGTTCATATAATGGGTGTGAGACCAAGTCATAAAGCATCAAGATGGCAGTGGGAAAGCTCCAGAGAAGGACTCATTCCTGCTGGTGGCCTTCTGGGAGGCTTTTGTTGTTGCACTTCTGTGTAGCGTTACTTTCTGGTGCCAAGTACAGTGCCTGCTTCTGGACTGGAACTGTGTAAGAAGCCCTGTCTGCTAAGAGAAATGGTGATGTGTGTCGTCTTTGATTTTTTAGCAGTCGCAGACCTGCAGAGGATGTTCCCCACACCGCCATCGTTGGAGCAGCACCCTGCGTTTTCCCCAGTGATGAATTACAAAGATGGGATCAGCTCCGAGACAGGGACAGCCCTGGGCATGTTGGAGAGTCCTATGGTTGGCATGGTGTCCACACAGCTCACAGAGTTCAAAATGGAAGTGGAAGATGGCTTAGGAAGTCCCAAGCCAGAGGAAATAAAGGTAGAGGCTTATGTCTTACCGTTTCCAAGGCAGCGTGATTCCTCATTGGATCCACGTATGTCCTTCAAAATGGTGTGATGTAGAAGTCATGTACAGCTAAGTCCCTAAGGACCCTCCCTGTGTGTTAGGTCATGATGCACGTTGCTGAAGGAACCCCTGTGGTACAACAGGTAAACGGAGGCTCGGCTGCTAACTGAGAAGTCAGGAGTTTAAACTCACCAGCAGTTCCAAGGGAGCAAAGACCTGGCAGGCTGCTCCCATAAACATGACAGCTTTGGAAATCTATAGGGCACTTCCACTCTGTCACATGGGGCCACTATGAGGTGGACTTCATTGGCTGTGACAGATGTTGCTTTTGTGGAGGGTTTTTTTAACAGGTACGTCAGTTGGTTATAGTAAACATAGTGTTGTCTTGTTTATAATTTTGGCTTTAAATTTTTTTTTTCAGCTGATCAGATAAGATCAGTACTGAGCCACAGTATTTTTTTATTGCCACGTTTATAGTAGTACTATGTGACTATGAATTGTTAAGTTCCTCACTATGATAGCTTGCTGTTGTTCCGTGCTGTCGATCAGCTCCAACTCATATGCGGCCTTGTATGGGGTTTCTGAGGAGAGGCTGGTGACCTTGAACTGCTGACCTTGTGGTTCAAACCTACCTTGCAGTCCAGTGCTTATCTTACAGCCCCACACCAGGACTCCCTAAATAGTTTAGCTCATAGTAAAGGACTTACCAGCATTAACCCTGAGCCCTGTTTGTCACCCCAGGACTTTTCATATGTTCACAAAGTTCCAGCTTTCCAACCTTTCATGGGATCCTCCATGTTTGCTCCACTGAAGATGTTGCCGAGCCAATGCCTGCTACCTCTGAAGATGCCCGATGCCTGTCTGTTTCGGCCTTCATGGGCAGTTCCCCCTAAAATTGAACAACTGCCCATGCCACCTGCAGCCACCTTCATTAGAGATGGCTACAAGTATGTACAGGGGGGGTGTCTGGTTACTTGCCTTATTTGATGTGATTTTTATCTTAACTATGTATTTAATAAGAATGATGGCAGTAGTGTCTCTGGAAATGTTCCTTTATTGGCAGTTCACGGTTTTGTGCACCCACTTTTGTGCTGAAAACACACCCTTCACCCCCACCCCCACCCCTGCCCCCAAAGTTCATTTTATATGCTTGGAAACATGAAGCTCATGTGTGGAGAACCAGGTTGCTGCCTGTGCTCTTTCAACATGGAACCTGCATCTCCCATAGGATCAAGCACTTGTCTGGAGCTGATAATACAGCTGTTGCATTTTGGGTGTTGTGGGGTGGTGGGGGCAATTTCTTTCTTGGTTTTGTGTCAATGGATGATTTCAACGGTATCTCCTTCAAGGCACTTTATAATGAAGTATCAACATAGATCATTCTGTCTGAGTCCTTGCCATAACAGAGACACAGCAGTGGAGTAGGGATAAGGTTTTGGAGGAGGACAAACAAAAAGTTTTTATGGGCTCTTGACCATCCAGGCAGTCCCGGATTATGAACAGCCAACTTATGTACAGCCTGTAGTTACGACCAATCCCATAAAGCCTATTAATACTACAAATGTGGGGTACATACAGTGGTCTGCTCTAACAAATGGGTGCTAGTTTGTGACAGGCATTACACCATCATTATGGTGAGGAAACATCATAAAGTTCATTAAAAAAAAATAAAGTAAAAGATTAATGGAATTTTGTAACAAACTTTCTGAAGCCCCCTCATATTACCGCATTAATGCTAAAGATGTTTTACTGTATCTAGAAGTGTTCGTTGATGTGTTTTGTGCACAGAAAGGTAACACTACATACTATATGTTAAGTGCTGTCGAGTTGGGTTGTTTCTGACTCATAGCAACAGGTGTAGGGTTTCCAAGAAGTGGTTGATGAGTTTGAACTGCTAGTATTGTGGTTAGCAGCCCAGTGGTTTTCCTACAGTGCTACACCAGAACACCATATGTTGTTGTTGTTAGGTGTCATCTAGTCAGTACTGACCTACAGCAACCCTATGCACAACAGAACGAAACACTGTCCGGTCCTGGGCCAACCTCAGAACTGTTGCCACACTTGAGCGCATTGATGCTGCCACTTTGCCAGTCCATCTCTCTGGGGGTCTCCCTCTTTTTTCTGTGACCCCCCACCTTACCAAACATGATACCCTTTTCCAGTGACTGGTCCCTGTTCCCTAGTTTAGACATGAACCATATTTATCTGTTCCAACTTAAGTACAAATCCAACTTAAAAGGACAGACTTAGGAGTGAGATTCATTCATAGACCAGGGACTGCCTGCCTGTATTTCATATTGTCACAAAGGGTCGCTCTGAGTCGGTTCTAGTATTAGTACTAGTTCTGGTGGTGGGGTGGTGATGTGCTGTGAAGTTGGAACCAATTCACAGTGGCCCTGTACAGGGTTTCAGAGGCTGTAAATCTTTATGGGAACAGAAAGCCTCACCTTTCTCCCGTGGAACAGCTGGTAGTTTCAAACTGCTGACCTTGGGGTTCACAGCCCGATTCATAACCACTACACTACCAGAGTTCCTTATTGTAGCAGTGTGAAATCATTTTTCCCTATGGTTAGTAATTTCTTAATAAAAGTAACTGAAGTGCTATCAGACAAAAGGTCACAGACTCAGGGTTCTTTTAGGACCAGATATGCAATAGGTGTGGGAGAAACAGACAAGGTACAAGAAAGCACCAGGCCCTCCTGCCGCTCAGGGTGGCCTGGGGACTGTAGAGGGCACCCCATCTGCAGGGACATCTGCACACTATTGTCTGGCCCAAGTGTGGGGTTGGTGCAGTCAGTGCTCTCTGTTTCCAGGAAAACTTCTTGTTGTGTGTTGTTTAGTCGGTTCCCACGCATAGCGATTCTGTATAGAGTTTCCAAAATCAGTTGGTGGCTTTGAACCTCTGACCAATCCAGTGCTGGTGGTTACCAGTCCAGTGCTAATCCACACTAGAACTGTTATTTTTATGTAAATTTACTATTCTCAAAACTTTGGCAGCTAATTCAAAGGTAAACTGTGGCCACAGATATGAGAGGTTCATGGTTAAGGATCCTGTCTGTGCGCTACATGCTTTTGTTGCCCATTGCTATCAATTCCGAGTCATTATAGCCACCCATGTTTCCTAGCTGTTAAACGTCATGGTAGCAAATCACTAGGCCTTTCTCCCACTGAGCTTCTGGTGGGTTGAAACCACCAGCCTTTGGTTAGTCAGCAAACATTTAACTATTGAGCCACCAGGACTCCTTACAAGCTAATTATGAAAACTGTCTTCATGAAATCACCTTTGTGTTTTGTGCTTTTGTATGTAAAGTCAGTGTAGAGGTATAGGCTGTGGCAGGGACACATTATAAAAAAAGTCCTCGACTTGGACAAGTGGCAGCTACCTTATCATTTTCTGGTTTATTTCATGTTGTTGTTGTCAAATGCCATTGAGTTTTGACTCATAACATCCCTGTAGAGGGTTTCCTAGAAGGAACTGATGGGTTTGAACCACTGACCTAGTTAGCAGTCCAGTGCTTATCTGATAGTGCCACACCTTAAGTACACCGTTAGACCTGAGTCTTGAATGTTAAAGTCGGCATAAACTCCTACCCTGCCTCCTACACAGACACACAGAACTGCTGAAAGGCTGTGGCAGCACTTAAGCCCTGGCTGAGGAGAGCTCTGTGCTGGGAGTTGGGGTGGGGTGGGGTGGGGGCTTTGTGTGTAGATACAGGTGCAGCACAGTGACAGACTCCCAGGTGTCATGTGCAGCCTACTGCTATGTTACCATTTGGATCATTATTCTGATCTCCTCAATCCAACAGTGCCCCCCCCCCTCCCCCAAAAGGCCACTGAACTGTTTCTATAGCTCTGCTGTCCAATATGGCAGACACTGACTTAGTTGTTTCACTAACATTGGATAGCTCCTATGGCCAGTAGCTCCCTTGCTGGACAGCACTTTCTAGATTACGTGGAGTCCTATTGTGATGCCATGAAAACCTACCCTTTTGTCACGCACACGCTGGCCACCACGTGCTTAATGTCTGTCTGCTTGTTCATGAGCAGACTTTTCTTCCTCCTGTTCCCTGCTGAGCCCCCAGTATCCAGCTCATGGTTGGTACTCTATTCATTTTATTGAAGGGGAAAAATCAGACAGCTATTTAAAATCAACCATTTTTACTATGCAGGGAGCCGCTTAATTATTTAACTTTTCAGTTAGTAGTCCTACTTCATTTTCTGATCTGAACAGCTTAATAATTTTAGGATTTCTCCGGACAGGAAAGTATGAAAGGAGTCCAATTAATAGAGTAAAGATCATTATTGTACACCTATTATTTTGGTCTCTGAGAGAGCAGTGATTGCCAATCAAGGTCTCTGGGTCATTTTCTACTGTATTGAAAGATACCACTGTGTCTGAAATGGAAAATTTCTACACAGTGTCTGATTAGGATCTTCAGGATGGGAGTTTAGGCATACCTCATTAAAAATCACAAGAAAATTATTTGAAGACTCAGTGCTTTCTGACATGATTCTTTCCAGTTAGAAGTGAATGAATATGTAGTGGATCGCAGCAGACCAGTTGAAGCCCTGTAATAATATACATCAAAGGGACATTCAGAGCAAAAAAAAAATTGGAATCTGTAATCTTTTGGTGCTTGCACGTGGAGAGAATGAGCTTGGCTGCTGCTCTACATGTACATCTAAGAAAGTCTGCCCAGAATTTTTTTTCCTATAATAAAGCACAGCACAATGAGACACTGTTTTGTGTTTGCCTATTCCAAAGAGAAGTCACTGCTTATGAGAAAGGAGCTGACTGTGGTCTGTCAGCCTCTGAGAATTCAACAGAACAGTGCTCTGATGACCGTGGAGCATGAGGGGAAACAACATGAGCCGGGGAGCTGTGGGGAGCCGGCAACCACAAGATAATGTGTATGCTTGTGTACAACCATCTACTTCATGGCAAGGCCTCAGGACAGCACATGTCATTTTTGTACTAATTACAATATAGTAGTGGCAAATGGCTTACCAACAATAGAATCCTCTCATGGTCACGCAGTACTATAAAAATTCAAGCCTAGATAGGACAGCATTTTGCAAATTAAGGAAATTAGAAAAATCACCTGAGAAAACACTGACACTGGCAGATGTTCCCCTTCCCAAAAATGACAAACACGGAGTTGCAAATTCAATGGATATGTAATCCGAGGGTCTGCTCGCTAGCATAGCATCCGAACTCATGCTTAAATTTCAGTTACAGGTTAATGTTGTTATTCTTATGTGTCATCGAGTCAGTTCCAATTCATAACAACCCCGTGTAGAGTTCCCAGGGTGCGGCTGGTGAGTTTGAACCACCATCCTTGGGGTTCAGACCAACCTTGCAGTCAGGTGCTCTTATCCTACAGCACCGCCCCAGGACCCCTAGAGATAATAGCTTTGCAGAATTACATTGACCCAGTCTTTTAAAAATAGTGAAAGTTCCCTCCAAAGGTCAAGATGCAGGTTGTGTGGATATTGTAGAGGTAAGGTGCGGCCTTGTGCTCTCCTTATTACCATGTGTTTTGCTTCTGCCCACGTGTCCTTGCCTCCTCTGGAGTATTGTGTTTTTAAAAAGAAGTTTGGCTAGAGCAGTAAGGATGCACATAAATGATTGGAGAGAAATGTAGTGTGGCGGCGCCTCTGGCCACATCCCCCCACCTGGGAAAGGCCACCTCTTTACGCTACTCTCCTTTCTGTTGCAGTAATGTGCCTAGTGTCGGGAGCCTTGCCGACCCAGACTATCTGAACACGCCAGTGACACTCAACAGTGCCGCCCCTGCCAGCAACAGTGGGGCTGGAGTCCTGCCGTCCCCAGCAACCCCTCGCTTCTCTGTCCCCACACCACGAACTCCCAGGACCCCAAGAACTCCCAGAGGTGGGGGCACTGCCAGTGGTCAAGGGTCTGTGAAATACGACAGCACCGATCAGGGCTCACCAGCCTCTACGCCCTCTACCACACGGCCCCTTAACTCTGTAGAACCTGCCACCATGCAGCCAATTCCTGAAGCCCACAGTCTCTACGTCACCCTGATTCTCTCGGATTCGGTGATGAACATCTTTAAAGACAGAAACTTTGATAGTTGCTGCATCTGCGCCTGCAACATGAACATCAAAGGGGCAGATGTTGGCCTCTACATCCCCGATTCTTCCAATGAGGACCAGTACCGCTGCACCTGTGGGTTTAGCGCTATCATGAATCGAAAACTTGGCTACAATTCGGGCCTCTTCCTCGAAGATGAATTGGATATTTTTGGGAAGAATTCTGATATTGGTCAGGCTGCAGAGAGGCGCTTAATGTTGTGTCAGACCACCTTCCTTCCTCAGCTGGAAGGGACCAGAAAGCCCCAGGAGCCGCCCATCAGCCTCCTCCTCCTGCTGCAGAATCAGCACACTCAGCCCTTCGCTTCCCTGAGTTCCCTGGACTACGTTTCCTCCAGCAGCCGCCAGACTCTCCCCTGTGTGAGCTGGAGTTATGACCGGGTACAAGCCGACAACAACGATTACTGGACAGAGTGCTTCAACGCCCTGGAGCAGGGCCGGCAGTACGTGGACAACCCGACAGGTGGTAGAGTGGACGAGGCTCTGGTCAGAAGTGCCACTGCCCACTCATGGCCTCATAGCAACGGTGGGTTTCCCAGAATGTGCTTGATGTCATGGCAACTGAAAATATTTTCTTGACATTTTTATGTGACCAAAATTTAACCTTCATCCCTTGAGAAAAAAAAACAAAACTAAGTAAGAACTGTGTAGCTTTTACCCGAGTGAATGGGGAGAGTGTTTGCAATCGAAACCCCTTTGAAGTGAAGTAATTACAGAACAACTTGCACTTGTATTGACTCCTGAGCAGTCAGCCTGTATGGGCAGCCTCTGTCTGTGGGTGTCAGAGGCCTCATCAGGAGCAGTTCTCCCTGGCTCCTCTTCTGGGGACGGTTTCACCCATTCACAGCACATGGTTTCCTGCCCTGGGCTTCCCAGCCCTTTGTGTGTCTTACCACTGTGACCACATTGTACCTTACACTGTGGCTACTAGGCCATCACCGGCTCTTCTAGCAGGAAAGCTTCAGTTGACCCATGTTCTTGGAGTTGGATGACAAGATGCCAAGCAGCTTGTCCTCCCTTACTCCGTCCATCCTGGGCTGCACTTGGGGGTCACATGGCATCTCATAGACAAGGTTCCTGTCCACAGGAATTTGCTAATCTAGCCTGGAAAATAAGCATTTGTCAAATAATCACACCAATAGGGGTATCATTGCAGCCACTGTAAGTGATGAATGCATGGTGGGGGCCCACCCTAGTCTGGAAGGTCAGGGGAGACTTCCTTGAAGAAGTTGTAGTATGTACTCCCAGAACTCAATGAGGAGACCAGATTAACTGGGTAAAAAAGGTAGTGAGTGAGGAATTATGTCCCAGGGAGGACCAGCCTGTGGAAGGGCTCATTATCAAGGAATTGACAGGAAGTTAGAGGCCCACAGGGGCTAGATTACTGTGAGTCGCTGGGTCTCCATCCAAACAAAGAGCAGTGAAAAATCGTTGAAGAGTTTCCGGAAGAGGCGTTGCCATGAGGTTTCTGAAGTCAGGAAAGAATAGAAATTGCAGGGACGGCAAGGGGAGACTCCCATCTCAGTGTGCTAGATCAGAAAGACATAGGCGCCTGCCAGGTGGTCAGGAGGTGGTGCTCAGCTGAGTACTAAGGACACCGAGGGAGAGCCAGGTTAAGGATGACGACGTGAGTACCTGGCTAGGTTCTGGTGCCAGTCAGAGAGATGGGATACTGGAGACAGACCAGTGGGAGGAGAAAACTCAGAAAGCTGGTCATTTTGGACATGTGGACATGTTCGAGGTCACTTATGAGATGTCCAGGTGAAGTAGACACAGGGAGCTTGGAGAGGCGGGTGGGTGCATGTAACAGCACATACAGCTGTAGTTAGGGCCGCACGTGGGAGCACTGAGAAGAGGAGAAAGGGGAACGAGAAGAGACAGGACCTAGGATCCAGCTGGGTAAGGGAGAGAAGGGGGCCCAGCGGCTACTCCTTGGAAACCTATACAAGATCACTGTGAGTCACAGTCAACTCGAGTGCACTTCACAAAAGCAGCAGTGCACAGGAGGCACAGAGGGTGATGCTGGCAGCCAGTGGTGGAGTGTAGCCTGGAAGAGGGCGGAGTCCACAGGCAGTCCAGGGCAGCAGCTGAGGTTTTGGATGGGCCTTTGGACTGTAGGGAGAGCTGTTTCTGTAGAGTGGGACACAGATTCCAAACCACGGGATATATGAAAGGATCGGGACCCCTGTTTCCCAGTCGCTCTCGGCTTTGCAAGGTTCTATGAGCTCCTTAAAGAACAGAAGCCTGGCCAGAGGGCAGTGGGGTAGGGAGTGGTACATCAGCTAAACAAGGGAGACTTCAAAGAGGCGGGGAGCCTTTGGGGAGCCTGAAGGGTGCTCCCTGTCTTTGTGACTGCTCAGGGTCAAACACAGTACCTTGCCTTCACTTAATGTTCCTTGAATGAGGTACTAATGAAAGAAAATGCCTCTCCCTAAGAGAAGTGTGGAAGATAATCTTGGTTGGTTCAGAGTAGTGGTTTCTCACAGTCACGGTCATCAGGCAGAAGAGCCCTGGGTGTGGATGATCAGTGCATCCTCTTGCTATGTGAAGAATAGCTCATCTCACTTCTGGGTAGGCCAGTGAGTGAGGTGGGAGCCAGTCAGAACGGTACCCTTTCACGCACACATGCACTCTAGCGTTTGGTTCTGCAAAGGAATAGGACTGCTTTGAGTTTCTTAAACCTGAGGTTCTCTCAGTCTGTCCTTTATTTACTTTAATAGAGGCATGGTTCCAAGTCCTTTAGTTTTTTTCGTTACGATTAAAAAAAAACCTGAGCTTGAAGATACAAGGTAATTGGCGTACTGCTCGTCCTGTGGGTTCAGGTTTCAGGGACCGAGGATGAAGGTCCAAGAGGCAGCTGGCCCGTGACTCCAGCACTTGTGGGGCCCTGGGCTGGGACCCCAGGCTTTCCAGGTTTCCTGTTTCTTAGGAGAAACTAGAAATCCAGGTTTGTACATGAAACTTCCCAAAAGAGTGTGTTCACAAATTAGAATAAGAACCCGACATGTCTGTGGGCCCCCAGCTTGCTGCATGTGTTTTCCTGGTTCAGGGGCACATCTGTAATAACTTCTGAACCCTGAATCACATTGCACATCTGGGTCTGTTGGTGGTAAATGTAAATCTTGGCAACCCATCCTTGCTTGCAAAGTCAGAGTGATGAAAGACCTTCAGAGGACTCAATTGTGTGGGTATATGGCGAGTCTCACCCCATGCTTAGCTTTTTCCCCAGGCCTTTCTGGGACTCTGATGGGCTGTATGGATTGTCTCCCCTGGGGAAAATACATGTATGGACAGAGATGCCCCGTTTCAAAGTCCAAGCTAAGAAGCTCTCCCCAGGATGGCGGTTATAGGAAGGGTCTGCAACACTGTGACTGCCCTTCCCCTACACACTATCAACTTTGCCGGCCTCTGTTCCCATGGGCCTCTGCCTGCCTTATAGGTTGTCTTTCTGTTTGTGTTCTTTGGGAATATTTTACATTAAGAACATTTTCCCATGATGTTTTTTTATAGCTTCCACTCAGTTAAGCTCCTTCCACTCCCTCCCGCTCATAATCAGCAAAACCCTGACATTTGTAAATAAAAGTAGTGCAGTAATTAGAAAGCTTTACTACTTTCTCTTAAGAGATACCCTGGAAACACATTCATGTGAGTCTAAAAAAATCAGACGCTCTGAAGCAGCACTAAAGGTTATATTCTTGTATATGGAGCAGCCCATTTCCCTCTGCTGTTTCCAAGAAGAGTTCTTGTGTCTCATTCCGAAGACGTGTCCATTTCCCCTGGACCCCTCAGCCAAGCCCCCTCACATACATCTGTCGTTGACGGGTAGTTTCTTTTCATTTCTCCTCCAGTGCTGGACAGCAGCATGCTCTCTTCCCAGGACGTGGTCCGCATGCTGCTGTCACTGCAGCCCTTTCTCCAGGACGCCATCCAGAAGAAACGCACGGGCAGGACCTGGGAGAACATCCAGCACGTGCAGGGGCCACTCACCTGGCAGCAGTTCCACAAAATGGCCGGACGAGGCACCTATGGTAGACCACTCGCCCTGCACATTCCTCCCCCCTTTTCCATGCACTCCAGAGCAGCTTGGCTTGCCATGCAGTCTTTGCAGTTGTTTGTGATCTTACCTGTGAAGTGTTACGAGGGACCCTGGTGGTACAGTGGTTACACTCTGCTGCTCACTGGAAGGTCGGTGGTATAATCCACCAGAGGGTCCACAAAAGAAAGGTGTGGCAGTCTGCTTCCATAAAGGCGACAGCCTTGGAAACCCTTGGGGCCAGTTCTGCCTCTGCTACAGGGTTGCCATGAGTCTGAATTGAACCAACGGCCATGGCTTGTGAAGTTTCATAACCTTCTTGTTTCTCTAAAGTTCCTTGTAGAATTAGGCTTTCTAAATCTCCTTGGCATAACTGAGGTCCCTGAGGAACTTCTACCTTGAGAACATGTTCTTGAGCTTCCCCATCTCCCCTGAGCCCACTGCTTTGGGACAGACGCACACCAGTCCTCTGCTACTGCATGGTCAGGCTCCCCAGGACCATCATTGAAATGAAATGGTGCTGACCGAAAGCTAACTAGAAACTTGTTCTCATTGCCTCTTGATCTTAATTTCTCCCAACATTTAGTTAAAATATTTGTCAGGGCCCATTAATTAGAATACTTGAAAATGCTTTTAACAGTATCCTACAAACATTCGGAGAAAGTTCTGATGCGAGGATTAGACTAGGGAACTCCTAAATTTTCCAGGTTGTGGGGAGCAGACCCTCCAGCGCCCTGCTCACTGTCAGTGCTGTGTCTTTAGGTTCAGAAGAATCTCCGGAGCCGTTGCCCATCCCCACTCTGCTGGTAGGCTGTGACAAGGACTTCCTCACCATCTCACCATTCTCCCTGCCATTTTGGGAGAGGCTGTTGTTGGACCCATATGGGGGCCACCGTGACGTTGCCTATATCGTGGTGTGTCCAGAAAATGAGGCCTTGCTCGAAGGAGCCAAAACTTTCTTCAGGGACTTAAGCGCTGTGTACGAGGTAAGATGATGTGGTGAAAGCCATTCTCATGACAAGAGTACTCGGGTGGTTTCCATGTTTGACTGAATTTGAAAGAACATCCTTCACAGGAGACACCAAAGATAAGTTGTAGAACGAAGGAAAGAATTAAGTTGGTAAGTTTTCCTGGTAGTGAAGTGCTTTCCTCTCTTGGTATTATATTTGATTTGATTTTGAAGACTTATCTCTCATCCATCCTTGCCACACATTTCCAAATCCTATCAGCTGTTTTTCCCCCTATTTGTGTGTTCAGAGTTTAAAAGCAGCTCTCATTAAGGGAAAGTGGTTAGTTAGAGGTGAGGGCTGTAAAAAGAAAACTGATTTACTCTTCTGTACTTTTTTGGTGAGGGGAGTTCCTGAAAATGGTATTAAAATGTATAGCTTGAGAATTTCTGAATCTGGAGGTGTAACTTACACCACTTATCTGTCAGTTTGTTATACTTTGGTGGCTTGTGAGTTGCTGTGATTCTGAGGGTTATCCTACCGGTATTTTAAATAATCAGCAGGGTCACCCATGGTGGACAGGTTTCAGTGAAGCTTCTAGTGTAAGACTAGGAAGAAAGGACTTGGTGATCTGGGCCAACGATCACCTTATGCATCACAGCAGAACACTGTCTGATAGAGTGCCGGAAGATGGACCTCTCAGGTTGGAAAGGACTCAGTACAACTGGGATATGCTGCCTAATCAAAGTAGAGTCAACCTTTATGGCATGGATGGAGGTGGAGCTTTTGGGACCTTCATTTGCTGATGCGGCACTACTCAAAATGAGAAGAAAAGGCTGGAAACATCTGTATTAACAGACTGTACAAAGAATGAATCTTGGAAAATATGGAAGTCGCCAAAAGTTAAATGGAACTCATAAAGATCGTTCAGCATTCATGAACTGAAATGGACTGGTATTAGCCATTTTGCACTGAACAGTCAGATCATTTACCATGCCGGAAATAACACATTGAAGAAGAATGGTGTCACATGTATCATCGAAAAGGACATTTCAAGAACTGTCCTGCGGATACACTGTTGTCAGTGATAGGATAATGTCTATACACCTGCAAGGAAGATCAATTAATATTACTATTCAAGTTTATGCACGAGTCATCAATGCCAAAGGTGAAGAAATTAGTGATTTTTACCAACTTCTTCAGTCTGAAATTAACTGAACATACAATCAAGGTGCACTGGTAATTACTGATAGTTGGAATGAGAAAGTTGGAAATAAAGAAGAAGGATTAGGAGTTGGAAAATACAGCCTTGATAATAGAAATGCCATCAGGAATCACCTGATAGAATTTTCTAAGACTAGTGACTTATTCTCTGCTATTTATAAGGTTTCCAGAGACTAAAGATTCGGAAGTAGTTTGTCACTCTTTCTTCCTAGTCTGTCTTTGTCTAGAAGCTCATCTGAAACCTGTCCACCATGGGTGACCATGCTGGTTATTTTAAAATACTGGTGGGATAGCCCTCAGAATCACAGCAACTCACAAGCCACCACAGTACGACAGGCAGAATAGTGAGTGACCATTTGGTTTTATGTCGAAACTGTCACTTTAAATTTCGAGGAAATCTGTGTACATGCGTAATAGAACCCGGTGGGTGTGGGATAGCCATTCACTCAGGTATCCCCTCTAGTCACCAGAATGGAGATGCACAGTCAGTGAGAGACCATTGAATAATGGACAGATACCAAAAAAATGAATGTGCACACCTGTGTCTCCTTGGTTCTGTCAGGCGTTCGTGGCTGTTCTAATCCTTCTCCCACTTGTTCTCTCCCAAGATGGCGGCTCTGGGAGTAGCTGAGCATCTTGAATTAGAAAGCAATGGATTTCTTGTTTCTCCTACAAATTTCCCTAGCTGTAAGCCTTCCAATCTTTTAAATAATTCTTGTATATGTGGTTCAGAATTCTACCACCATTCCCTGAGCCTACTTGGCCCGGTATTCTGTGTTGTTGGTGACGGCGCTCTTCACTGCATGTCTGTATGATCCGCCATCTTGATTGTATCCTCCCTCAAGATACTCAGGATTGGACATTGTTTCGTTCTGCTATGCATAAGGTCACTATGAGTCGGTACCGACTCGATGGCACCTAACAACAACAACAACAAGTGACTTGTTCGGAGTCCTAATGTGGCGCTGTGAGTTACTGCTTTGGATTGCAAGGTCTGTTTGAAACACAAGATCAGCAGTTCAAATTTACCAGCTACTCTTTGGAAACCATATTTTACAGGGTCACTATAAGTTGGAACCTTTTCGAAGGCACTTAACAACAACAATGACTTACTTGTTCATTGCAAATATTTTTTTTTCCAACAACATAAATGGTAACTGTCCTCACTAGAATTCACAGGAATCAACTGACTGGAAGAGAGCCATATTTATGCTCATTCCAAAGAAAGATGATCCAACAGAATGTGGTAATTGTAGAATGCTATAGCATTAGTACTTCATACAAGTAAAATCTTGCTGAAAATAATACAAAAACAATTGCAGCAAGTACATTGACATGGAGCTGCCAGAAATTCAAGTCAGATTGAGAAGAGGATGTGGAATGAGGGATATCATTGCTGACAACATGTGGATCTTGACTGAAAGCCAAGAATACCAGAAAGATGTTTACCTGTGTTTTATTGACTGTGCCAAGGCATTCAGTTGTGTGGTTCCTAACAGTTACAAAGAATCAGAATGTCAGAACACTTACACTCATGCAGAGTCTGTACATAGACCAAGAGACAAGTCATTCAGAGAAAACAAGGGAATGCTGCATTGTTTAAAACCAGGAAAGGTGTTCGCCAGGGTTGTAGCCTTTCATTGTGTGTATTCAGTCTGTATGCTTAGAAAGTAATTGAGAAGCTGGACTATAGAAAGAATACAGCATCAGGATTGGAAGAAAGCTCCTTAAACAACCTGCAGTAGGCAGACAACACATACTTGCTTGCTGAAAATGAAGAGAACTTGAAGCACTTGCTGATGAAGGTCAAAGACTACAACCTTCTATGTGGATTACACTTAAGCATAAAACAAAAATACAATTGAACCAATAAAAACCACATCTTGATAAATGGGAAAAGAGGGAAATTTTGAAGAATTTTGTTTTACTTGGACTTAAATCAGTACCCGTAGAAGCAACAGGCAAAAAATAAAACAATTTTGCATTGAGCAAATCTGCTGCAAAAGACTTCTTTTAAGTATGAAAAAGCAAAGATGTCACTTTGAGGACTAAGGTGCATCTGACCCGAGGCATGGTCTTTACAGTTGTGTCATATGCATACAAAAACTGAATGATTAATAAAGAAAAAGAGAGACGAGTTGATGCTTTTAAATTAAGGTATTGGTGAAGAGTATTGACTATACCTTGGACTTCTGGAAGAACGGACTATCTTTGAAGGAATACAGCCAGAATGCTCGTTGGAGGCAAGATAGCAAGACTTTTTCTCATATCCTTTGACATGTTATCAGAAGAGAGCAGTCCCTGGAGAAAGACCTTCCTAGGGACTGGTAAAGTTGGAGGGTCAGTGAAAGAAAGGAAAACTCTTTCCTCTCTGACAAAAGCTGTTCTCAGTGACAATAACAATGGGCTCACAGATAACAATTGAGGATGGTGCAGGACCAGGCAGTGTTTTGTTCTGTTGGACATAGAGTCGCTATGAGTCAGAACTGACTTGATGGCACCTAACAACAACAGAGAGAACTTATTTTTATTAGAATATACACAGCAGAACACACGCACACTTCAGTGGTACTGACTACAGTCTTCAAGGTGTTAACCATTCTCACCCATCTTTCCCAGGTTGTCCCTCCTTTATTAGCATAAATTTACTGCCCCTTTTGGGTTGCTGCTGTCACTTTCATCCAATATAGAGAGTACTTAAAAAAAGCATGATTTTAAAGGCATTCTTTTCTATAATGCTTTATTTAGAACTATATTTAACACAAAAATTTTGATGCAGATTAAATTTCTTAGTAATTAAAAGCTAGATAAATAGTTGTATGTCTTTAGGTATATAAATTCCCATTACCTTAAAAAAGTTAGAATCCTGTTTTCTTTGAAGAGTGTCATGTTTTCTCAGCTAAGTTTTTCTGAAACTTAGCTGGTCTTGCGCCATCCTCACAATTATTGCTACGCTTGAATGTTTTCATTTTTTGGTGCTATATTCTGCTGCCATTCATACGGTCTTCAGTGGCTAACCATTCACAAGGGACCCACCTCTCCTTCTTCCTAGTCTGTTTTAGGCTGAAAGCTCAGCTGAAGCCTGTCCACCAGTGGTGACCCTGCTGGCATTTAAAATACCAGTGATATTGCTTCTAGCATCCCAGCAGTACACAAGACACCACAGTAGGACAGACTGACAGACACGTGGTGGCCTGTCCTGCTAATTGCAGGTGCACGATGTTACGTCTCTGCTGTAGGCACCCACTTAGTGTTCTTCCTTGAGATGAACTACGGCATCTCATTGTCCTGATAACAGATGCAGACTGTAAGGAAGTGGTAGGCATGCTCCCTTCACCAGTGCAGTGTTCCTGTGATCTCATGAACAGGAGTAGGCATTGCTTCCAGGGTTCTAGTGGATGTGTGTGTCAGTCAGCCGGAGGTGGCAGAAATCTGCTGAGTGCTGTATTTGTCCATTAGCAGGCAGGTAGTCCTCCCCCTCCTCCCTCCCGTCCTCAGGAGGAATGGGCATGGGGGGAGCCACACCTCGTCCCATCCCCTCCCTTTTTTTGTATAGGGGGTTCACTTCATGTTTGAGAAACAGGTAGCACTGTCAGAGCTTATCAGAAAGGACTGGCTTCTGACGTTGGGTTTTGCACCAATGACAGCTGAACAGAAAGGCCTCTCTGTTTATGGTGAAGAATTCCCTCCCTTGTTAAGTGTATGCACTGGGTGGAGGCTGGGCTCCTGTTCACGGTGACTTTGTCTGTGTCTCAGATGTGTAGGCTTGGGCAGCACAAACCCATCTGCAAAGTGCTTCGGGACGGGATCATGCGTGTGGGGAAGACCGGGGCGCAGAAGCTGACTGATGAGCTGGTGAGCGAGTGGTTCAGCCAGCCCTGGGGCAGCGAGGAGAATGACAATCATTCCAGACTCAAACTCTACGCGCAGGTTTGCCGCCATCACCTAGGTAAATGGAAGTTTATTTGTCCAAGTAGAACTTGAGACGTTAAATAGCTGATTTCCTGTCTTCTTACGTGTGAGTGATGTACCCCTAGGTTTCTTTGGTCTCCAGCAATGCTACCATTTCATGACTACGTTTATTCATTGATTTAGGCTCAGGTTTTGTGTTTGAGGTTCTTGTTGTTAGTCTGTAGACATTCAGTCTTGATGAAAGACTATTTAAAGTGACCTAGAGAAGTCATCCCTACTTTCCCCCACCTATAGAAACTTACCAGCATGCTGTGGTAATCACGGTTTCATTTTAACCCAAATTCCTAAGAGAACTTCAGAAGTTCATGAAGCTGTCTTGAGGTATGCAGAGGTGCACAATGTGCATTGATGACTCATTTTTCACTGAAGGCACGTGCAATCATTCCGAAAGGAGACGGTTACACATGATTCATTCTCTTTTCAAATACAAGTCTTCTCTGGGATTTGTCTGAAATCTCTCCATGTCTGAATGCTGCTTGGATACATGAGCATCCTCCACTTGGGATTCAGCCTGACCCTAATGCCGCCTCTTTTGCTTGTCCTTTCAGCACCTTATTTAGCCACTCTGCAGCTGGACAGCAGCCTGCTGATACCACCTAAATACCAGACCCCACCAGCAGCAGCCGCACAAGGATCGACTACACCTGGGAATGCTGGCCCTTTAGCTTCAAATTCAGGATCAGCAGCCCCCCCAGCTGGCAGTGCATTTAACCCCACCTCCAATGGCAGTTCTGGGAACCCTGCAGCCAGTAGCTCCGGCCCAGGTTCCTCTGTGCCACCAGTCTCAGCATCTTCCTCTGCTCCTGCTGTCAACCCGATGAGCACTACCTCTTCTTCGGGATTCAGTGGTAGTGTTGGAGGGCAGAACGCCAGCACAGGGGGCAGCTCTGTAGACAGAACGCAAGGGAACATCGGCTGTGGTGGAGACACGGAGCCTGGGCAGAGTGGCACTCAGCCTGCACAGGACGGGCAGGAGAGGTACGAGACGGGCTTCAGCATGGAAGCCTTTTCTGCCGTGGTCTGCACCCCTCCACTATGACCTTAGTAGTCTCCGAATCCAGTGTAGTGCGCAATTCCTGTCCTCCCAAAGAAAAGGGCAGCCATCAACGTTAGCACTGGAGTCTTGAGACATATGCGATGCTTACTTTGTATAAGAACGTACGGTAAAACAGCCCCACAGAACAGGAGGAGGAGGCTGGAAAAGAGGTCTCCCCTAAAAGGACTGTGTTGTCCTTTTGCATCTCTCCCTGGAGCTAGCTGGTGTACGTGCGTGCACACTAATAGTGCCCAGGGAGCTTGAACGCTGAGTGCTGCAGTGTAGCTTGGCTTCAGGTTGTGCGTCTCACAAGTGCCTCTCTCCCCAGCATCACAGAAAGGGAGCGAATCGGTGTTCCTACGGAGCCTGACTCTGCAGACAGCCAGGCCTACCCACCAGCGGTCGTCATTTACATGGTGGACCCCTTCACGTACACAGCGGAGGAAGACTCCACAGCTGGGAACTGCTGGTTGTTGAGCTTGATGCGCTGCTACACAGAGATGCTGGATCATTTACCTGAGCATATGAGAAACTCTGTCATTCTCCAGGTAACTCTTTGCAACTTTGTCACTGAAAATTGGCAAGTAAGATTTAAACCATGAGGTTTAGAACATTTTCTTTAGCATATACACCCCCCAGAATCAATCCTACTGCCATCAAGTTGATTCTGACTCATACAGGACAGAGTTGACCTGCCCCATAGTGTCCCCAGTGATGTCATCGTACAGAGGAGTCCTGGTGTGGCATTGGAGGGTGAACACTGGATTGTTAACTGCAAGGTCAGTGGTGTAAACCCATCGCCTGCGTCTTGGAAATCCTGTTGTACGTGGTCACTGTGAGTCACACTGAGTCAGCAGTACTTACCAACAACAGCAATCTTTATAGAAGCCGACAACCATGTCTTTCTTCTGTGGAGCAGTTGGTGGGTTTGAACTGCCGACCTTTGGCTAGCAGCTAAGTGCATACTGTTGTGTCTGGCTTTCTTTATAGAAGTATATGGAAGTGTTGTTGCTAAGAGCTGTCAAGTCAATTCTGACTCATAGCTATCCTGTATACGGCTTCCAGGGATCATCTGGTGGGTTTGAACCACCTCCCTTGTGGTTAGCAGTCACTGCTTATCCTACAGGCCACCCCAGGATAAAAGACAGAACTTCTAACGCTCCCTTCCAGACTGCCCTCATTGTGTGTGTTCGTTTTACAGCTAAGATCCGATTTTCAGTGTCAATTTCAGTCTTTTTTTCTATCATTATTTATGAATGTATTATTTTCTGATTTAAATTCTAAATTTTTAATGATTGCATATTTTCACTTTCAACCATTCCTGTAGTCAGATTTTGAATTTTCTCCATTTTTTCACATTAAAATGAAATAGTCATAGTATAAATCTATGTATAAAATTTTCCAGATGACTTTTCACCTTTTAAAGGGGATTCTTCTTTCACGTAGATAGTAATGAATATTGCTAAATTCCTTTCAGAAAAGGTTCTGCTGATCCTCATTCCCTTTAGCAGGGAGTGGGCGTGGCCTTTTTCACTGCACCATTTTGCCAGCCTTTTGATGTCATAATGAAAAAGTATGATTTAGTAGATAAAAGATGATGCTTTAGGGTTTTTGGGTTTTATTTATTTAATGCCATTTTAACTAAAGCTATTGTCTAGGATTAAAAGGTTGGCTGATACGGTTTTTTGTGCTTGGTTGGATTTGTCACTAACTCTCCAGGTGCTGTACACAGTGCACCCACATTCTGAAAATACGGAATATGTGCAAACGCAAGTTTTTAAAGTTCTGAGTCATGGCAATAATTTGAGAAACCTTTCCTCACGTGAGAACAGTAGGTACATTTCTAAATGACAGTGTAACTTGACAATCATCACATACCTCTTCTTCAATTCCGGTGACATCTGGAATTCAGATTTGATTGTCACTGCGAGGAGATAGGATTGTATCATGTTGTGTTGGTGTGCACGTGTGTCCTCGTACACTGGAGCTCAGTGTCTCCTCCTGTGCCTGTTTGTGGCTTAGATTGTGCCTTGCCAGTACATGCTGCAGACAATGAAGGAGGAACAAGTCTTCTACATCCAGTACTTGAAGTCCCTGGCGTTCTCCGTGTACTGCCAGTGCAGGCGGCCTCTGCCTACACAGATCCACATCAAACCCCTCACGGGCTTCGGGCCTGCAGCCAGCATCGAGATGACCCTCAAGAACCCGGAGGTGGGTATATTGGCTGGAAACATGCCCCAAAAAGGCCAGCAGGAGACTTTGTTACTCCAGAGGTTGGTTGGTTGGTTGGTTGGTTCACCTTCTACTGTAGAGTTACTAGGACTCCTTAACGCTTAAGCTGACATAGAGATCATTTTCTGAACTTTATAAGTTGTCAAGGAAAGTAGGCACATAAACTCTTGCTATTAAAACACCTGAGGAAGTGCTCACATTCCATCATTAATGTTGAACGTCCCTAAGTTTACTTTGTCCTGTTGCTTTTGAAGTGAATTTGTATCTCAGATTCATTGCCTCTCTGCCATTCCAGCTGCAGGTGGCCTGTGGTCACTCTGCCAGAGATCCTTGGTGTGATGTCTGATGCTCTTCTGAATGTAGGTGCATCTGCACGTCAGTGAATGCGCTCTCCTGTCTTTTCTCCATTGACTCCAAAGTACACCTACATTACAGAAATATGGGCCTCTAGGAGAATTTTGAAACACTGAAGGCAAAAAAAACCCTTAAAAGTTTACACTTTATAAGCCATCTTATGTTGACGATATACATATACAAGGCACTGTTTCAAAAACCAGTTTATTGAGTGAAGGAGTGACATTAAGTAATAAAGTCAAACAGATCTTCACCATATGGGAGCTGCTGAAAACCACAACAGTAAATTGAAATGTTCTGGGAGGCTCTAGGAAATTTTTATCCCTTCTGTAAATAAAAGCTTGTGAGTGGGACTTGTGCAGTGGTTAATAGCGCATTTGTTGTAATGTGGCTCTGGTCACCTGGGCCCCTGAGAGAAAGCCTCTTTGTGTAACTGTGACCTATAGTCACTCCAAGGACTCTCTGACCTTTCTGCCTTGTCATTTTTAAGTTCGTTTACCCTTTGAGTTTGAATTTTTCCCTTTTGTGATCAACTTACCTGTTTTATCTTTTAGCCTTTTTTATAATTTGGAGAGTGAATTTGTTTCTGGAAAGTATTGCTTTTCTTTAAAAACTTAGAATCCTTCAGTTCTAGAGTTCTTTGTGGTTATTTCTCAGGTTAGATGCAGTCTTTCCTTGAGATTTTGGTAAGACGTGATCACTACTTCAAATGATAACTGTGATAATAGTCAGTAAAGATTAAGGGCCTATGGCCAACTATAGGGAGATCAAGGCTCTCTGTAAACATTTCGGGAAGTTATAACAAACTTGCAGAACAGTGTCAGCAGCTCAGGAGCTAGTGAGACGTAGATTACAGTACATGGCAGAGACTTCGCGGAATATGTGCTCCTCTTGTTGTTTTGAACAGAACAAGAGGAATAAATCATTTTTCTTTACGAGATACAAGAGAACCAAATGTTACAAATGTACGCGTAATGGTGGCTTCTCCCACAGACTGCAACTATTGTTGTTGTTAGGTCCCATCGAGTCGGTACTGACTTTAGTGACACTATGCACAACAGAACAAAAAAAACACAACCCAGTCCTGGACTAACCTCTCAGTCATTGCTACATTTGAGCCCACTGCTGTGCCAATCCATCTCCTGGAGGATCTTCTCCTTTTTTTTCCACTCTCCACTTTACCAAACATGATCTCCTTCTCCAGGGAACAGTCCCTCCTGATAATATGTCTGAAGTATGAGAGATGAAGTCTGGCGCTCTGGTTGTACTTATTTTACAATAAGTACACTCTGGTTGTTTGTGGTACTTTGAGTATTCTTTCTCTAACACCATAACTCGCATGTGTCAATTTTTCTACAATCGTTCTTATTCACTGTCCAACTTTTGCTTGCATATGAAGTTATTGAAAATACCATGGCTTGGATCAGGTGCACCTTAGTCCTCAAGCTGACATCTTTGCTTTTCAGCACTTTAAAAAGGTCTTGTGCAGCAGATTTGCCTAATGCAATATGTCGTTTGATTTCTTGACTGTTGCGTCCATGAATGTTGATGGTTGATCTGAGCAAAATGAAGTCTTTGACAACACTTACATAGATGTTGTTTATTGGACGAGTGGTGAGATTTTTGGTTTGTTTACACTGAGGTGCAACCCATACCTAAGGCTGTGGTCTTTGATCGTCATAAGTAAGTTTTGTCAGCCCTCCTTGATTTCAGCAAACAAGATTATATTATCTGTGTATCGCTGGTTGTTTGAGTTTTCCTCCTATCTTGATGCCATATTTTTCTTCATATAATCCAGATTCTTGGATTATTTGCTCAGCATAAGGATTGCATAAATATGGAGAAAATACAACCCTGGTGCACACCTTTCCTAATTTTAAACCATTCGGTGTCCCCTTGTTCTTGGTCTATGTACAGGTTCCTCATGAGCATAATAAGTGTCCCAGAATACTCATTGTCCTCAATTTTGTTCATAGCTTGTTATGATCCACAGAATAGAAAGCCTTTTTACCTGTAAACCACAGGATATCAGCATCTGACATCAGCAGTGATATCCCTCATTCCACCTCTTCTGAATCTGGCTTCAACCTCTGGATATTCTCTGTTAATGTATGCTTGAAAGCCGTTTTTTGTATTATGTTTAGCAAAATTTTACTTACATGCGATATTAGTGATGCTGTCCGACGATTTCCACATTCTGTTGGGTCACCTCTCTTTGGAATGGGCACAACATGGATCTCTTCCAGTCAGTTGGCCAGGTAGCTAGCTGTCTTCTAAATTTGTTGGCATAGACCAGCGAGTGTCTCTAGTGCTGCATCAGTTTGCTGGAAGATTTCAGTTTGTACTGCATGAATTCCTAGTGTCTTGTTCTCTACTAATGCCTTCAATGCACCTTGGACTTTTTCTTTCAGTATCATTGGCTCTTGATCATACGCTACCTCTTGTAATGGTGGAATATCGACCATTTCTTTTTGGTGCGGTGACTCTGTGTACTCCTTCCATCTTTTTTGGATGTTTTCTGCATCATTCAATATTTTGCCCATTGTTGTTGTTAGGTACCCATGAATCACTACCAACTCACAACGACCCCATACACAACAGAATGAAACACAGCCCAGTCCTGGCCAACTTTACAATCATTGCTACATTTGAGCCCATTGATCCTGCCATTGTGCCAATCCATCTCATTGGGGATCTTCCTCTTTTTCTCTGACCCTCCACTTTACCATACATGACATCCTTCTCCAGGGACTGGACCCTTCTGGCAATATGTCTGAAGTATGAAACACTAAGTCTTGCCGTCATGTCTTCCAAGGAGCACTCTGGCTGTACATCTTTTTTTTTTTTTAATTTAAGGTTTTTATTGTGGATTGAGTGGAAGTTTACAGAGCATAGCATCAGTTTTTACATTCAACAAATTATACACCTTGTTTCTTAAAATGATTATAATTCCCTCCATGTACCATCAGTTAAACAGTATTTCTCTCTATCCACTTTAGCTTTTTTTTAAAAACAAACAAACAAAAAAACCACTCTCCAAAGGGCACATTCTGCAAGTCTGCTCCTGGCCACTGGCTCTTAGTCCTTCTCTTCCTTGTCCGTGAATCTAGAGTCCTCAGCCGCTCCCCCTCTCCATGCCCCATCTCTGCCTCCATCTCTGGCACTGCTGCTTCTCTGGATAAGATCCTGCATTCTGCTTGTGCATTTCTCTCTTGATGGTCCTAGGGTCCTCTGTTTCTGGACTGTAAGATTAACCACTCCCCTTTGTTTGTTACAAAACTTCTACCTTTACGATTGTGACAGTCGCGATTAGTCATGATAACAATTATTCACTATTGAATCTTACGAATCTTATCCCCATCTCTTTTCATCGGACCCTCTAGACAAAATGACAGCTATTCAGTGGGGACTCTTTCTTTCCCCCAATTCTCTTAAATTAAACTCCCTTCTGAAACCTTGTAAGCCAGTCACTTCATGCCTTTATTGCCCCCTCATATTAGGTAGCCAATGTCTAAGTCACCCGTCCCTATCTACCCTGTGTACAGAGCACATAGCATTGATACTTGATTTGAAGAATCTTTCACTCTGTTGGTATTTAGAGTAACTACTGCTCTGAGTATAGGTCAGGTTCATCATGAAGATGTATCTTCTGTCACTGTAGCTGTTCCAGTCTG